CCAAAACAACCTATGTTTGCTCTCACCACGCTAGCTTAAGTTCATGCTAGCTGACCGACGCTGCTAGCCGCTGCCAGCTAACCTCGCTGACCAAAACAGCTGGCTAAACAACAGCGGTTTCTCCGCGGTTTCTTTTACAAGCTGCATACTCACATGGGCACCCACCTCCGGGTAGGACAGCTAGACACACGCAGGGAACTAATGGGCGAGAAGAAAAGTATTCCTGGTCCTCTGCTTGAAGTTTTTTGCCGGATGCTGGTGTATCCACTATGCGAGCATCAAACCATGTTGAGTGGGCAGCTGCGCACTGAGTTCTTGTTTGCACTCGAAAGCCATTAGGAGGTTTCTGGAAAAATGTAGGGAACCTCGAAGGGAACCTCGAAGGGAACTAGGAGGAAAGTGCCCTAGCCTCTTATCTTCTATCTTAGTGGCAGGGTATTTTTCGATTATTCTGGTAGTTTTTCTCCTAATTGTATAAGCAGACTATCCTGTAGTCTTCTATAAAAGGGTCTGAGTAAATTAGCAAAAGTAAGGACAAAAGGGACACAACAAATTCATGAAAAAGAAAAAAAAACCTGAATAAATATTCAATTTTGACAGTTATAATAGACGTTTTTCACAGCAGCCATTTTGACATGAAATAGTAGGGCAAACACAGGTGTAAGGAACTATACTAATTAAAGCTCTGTTCCATGTAGTGCAGTAGAGCCTCTCCGGTGAGACAACATGCACAATGGCAGCACCCTGACTCTGTTTGACCTGAATGGAATAAAACCTTGATTAGTGTGATTAGTAAGACCTGTGCTTAAAGCTGCTGTGAAAAAGGTTTATTGTGAATGAAAAACACTCTTAAAGCTGCAGTAACTTTTATATAATTGTTTTTTCATATTTTCTGAAACTTTCACTATATCCTGACAGTAGCACATGAGACAGAATCTGTGACACTCTGGTGCTTTTGATGGATTTTTTCAAGAATCCACCCTGCCTAAACAAAAACACCAAAGCAGAGCCAGAGATGATTGTTTGATGATTGAGTCTCATTCCAAGATCATCAAATACCAATACCAATGCTGGGAATGAGACTCAACAATCAATCGTCCTTAAGCCACTAACCCAAAGCGTCTTTCTGTCTTTCTTGGCTCTGATTGGTTGTTTTCATTCAGGCCCGGTGGATTCTTGCAAATACCATTAGGAGCACTAGGAGGAGCCAGAGGATCCGGATGATCTGTCTCATGTTCTACTGTCAGAACACAGCAAAAATTTCAGCAATAATGACAAAAGGTTATTTTTATAAAAGTTATCTGCTTCAGCTTTAATGTCACATTTCTTCTGCATATGTTGGCGGATATTAGCCAAAAGACAGCTATTACTGATGCAACATTATACTAAAAGGGCCGAATGCTGAATGGTAATCTAGCCTGCTCAAATGTGTACGAAAGGCTCAATGGCAGAAGATAAAACCAAATTTTAATCACAAATGATGTTACAGTTTGTCATTCCAGTCTTGCATAGCCACAGTAATGGCAGTAATGCACTTGACAAGATTTTTCTCCGGCCACAGCAAATGAGCAGGAGATACATGGAAGCCAAGGAGAGCAGCTAAAAGGGGAGGAAACTGGCAAAAACCAAAGTACTCTCAGAAATTACAAGCCATTATAAAATGGTTGCAGTCTCCCTCTGCTGTTCAAAAGTGCATTAAACGACAGGACAACAGGGTCAACTCATAAATACCTTTCACTCTCAGTGCCTGCAGTGTACACAAGCACATATAACAGCTGCTACAGATGCACACTTCCAGGACTAGTGAGGTAAAAGATCGACTTTTATCATTGCAGTAGTTTTGTGTGTGCCAGCATGCGTAATACCAAGGTCCTGAAACTGGCACACTGAACTGAATGTAATATAATGATCTATTTTATTACAGTGCACCTGTGTTTGAAAAGACAAAAATTGTACATGGAATTACCATTATGAAAACATGTTGTATAAGTTTTATGTCTCTTTAACATTGACAGGTGTACAAAAGTAACAAGGCATTATACAACCAACAAAAATGGTGCAAACAGAACCTCATTAAAGCTCACAATTCAACACAATTCTGCTCCTCATTGTAGCCTTTAGTTTTCATAGAAATCCAACTCTTGGTGGTTCAAGTGGATTAGTTATGAGGCCATGAATTCATTTATGAAATTTATTTTCACACTAACTAGTATTAACCCAACACACAGGGGAAGATGACACAGGAGAACTGACATTTGTGATGACCTACTCTTGCTTTCTCAAACTGGACAAACTGTACACTGAAGTTTTTAAATAAAAAAAATATTTTCTAGTGTCAGCGGTAGGAGCAAAACCTTTACGTTTATAAATGTGTTCTTTTTTTCTTCAGACCAAAAAAAATTACTGTATTTTCTCACTAAGCCTGAGGCACCTGGAAATCACAGAAACTGGTGGAGAAATTAGGAATTTTTGATCATTTGGAAGAAACTGGGAAAAAAGGGTAATTATTAATTATCTGGAGTTTGAGGACAAAATTCTGTTTATTTCAAGAGTTCCACAACTCTGATTGCTGTGAAGAAACCAATTTACAACAATATGTAAAGAACATGAAACATCCACAAACAAATCCTCTTAGAATTATGTTTGGTTTCTGCAGTTGTCACATGGGGGCAGTATGACTACCAGACTGTAAAATTCACAGATTCTGCATAGCAGCATTCACACCTCATTTACAAAATCTGTTGTGCTCTATCCTAAGTGAAAGCTATAATGTATCTCATATAGCAAACAGTAAAATGGCATCATAAGCACCTTAAACGAGCACTATGAGTCCATTATGCATTATTCATGACAGTTGGGTCATAGACAACTGCTTTAACAGCATTAATATTCATCATATTCTATTTTGCAATACAAACGTTTCAAAGAGCTTCTGACTACTTAACACCTCCACTGTGGCAGATTAGGTCTGACTGCCTTCTTCAAAAGCACTTTGACTGTTATTAAAGGGGAGCAGAGCACTTGGCATTCACTTTGCCCTGCTTTGACCTTCCCAGCATGACCTCTGGGTCAAACATTGCAATAGATGATTACCATCCGTAGGATTTTACCTGACACTAAACTTGTTTTCCCCAGTAGCCCTGGCCATTACTTTAGAGCTGTTTCTTTGAATTAAACCCATAACAGTGAGGTAAATTAATAAAACACTACAGCTTAAAAACAAAATCAGCAACATAGTGTCACCAAATGTGCTTGTCTGGAGTGCACAGACTGATATTATATCAGATAGGAGGAGTACAATCGCAACAACTCTGCAGAGGCAAAGCAGGTGCAGGCTGAAACGAAGCAGAAACAGCACAGCAAAAAATATTAATGGTTGACTTAAATGGGCTGTGTTTTTCAGTCGAAATGTCTAATTGATGCGCATGCTAAGTTAGCCACCTGGATCCATTTCCCCTCCAGAATTAAGCCTCTTTTAATTTCTCCTTATTGCTGACCCTCTTCCTCCTAAACCAGCTGAGTAAACATCTCCCCCTGCACATCTGAAACATTAAGCACTAAAAATATGTAAATAGGTCTATATGTTTGCAAGGAATGGAACTTGCCTTGTTATGAGAATCAAACTTATAGGCAGCTCTACTTTTGGAGGTGATGCTGCATATGGTTGCTTACACCTAACAGATGATTAACATCCAGGGCCAGATGAACTGGTGATGGTAAATGCTGGGAAGGAAAACTTGCAGTTCAAAATTTCAGATGTAGATTGGAAAGCAGCTTGCACTAATGCTGACTTAGTCTATAAATACACCCCTTAAGTATAAATGGTTAATTCAGTGGAACTATATAGATATAATAAACACAAACCAGACATATGCATATATATGTATAATGTACAAAAACTTGAGGAACATGAAAGTAAAAAATGTCCTTAAAAGGTAAGAGTTATACTTAAGATTGTTTCAAAACAAATATGACTGGACCCTAAGCTTTTCCTGTTGGGCTTAAATTCAGAGAAATATAATTATTATAAAAATGAACGAGCACTTTCAGACCTCAGCTCGCTCCACATCACATAGTGTATTGCACAGCTGTAGAAGAGGATAAGACAGACGTTATCAAGCTTCAAGTTTCTGGTCTTTTTTTCATTTTTCTTCTAAATATTTGTATTATTTATTTTGCATCTATTGAAATCAACAAATTACCATTTGTTAAAACAGGAGGAGCATTCTTGTTTTGAAGGGTTTTTGTGTGTTTTGTTTTGAATAAATTCAGCAATCTTATGTAAAAGGCTTTAGGTTTGTAAAAATCTTTATTAAATATATTGTGTGCAGATGAATGTGAAAACATCCTTCTAGAGATAAACTCTGCACAGACAGCATTCAGACAGCACACTGTAGGAACTAGAAGAACAACAACATATTTGTGAATGGAGGGGGCTGTCACCTTGTTTATAAATATGCAAGACCAACTTTATTTGAAAGTTACAACTGAACTTTAGTGGAATTCCTGCACACATTTGCTCCTGTACTGCAGTTACACACATAATCTTACCTATGACTGCCAGGTGGTGGCTGGGGAGGGGGTAAAGTAGCCTTCACACAGCGGACCCCAGCAGCACTGTGGTCGTATTAAAAACTGCATCGCCTTTTGTGACAACTGTAGATCAGTGGGCCATCAGCTCCCCCCCTCGCTCTTGTGTCAGGGACTTGTAGTCTTTAGTGTAAAGAACGCCGCCGCGTGGTAGCGGCCTTTGTGAGAGTAAGACTACAGTTCCCTCAGAGCTACTCGGAGGTGTTAGTTGTCAATATGGCTGTTGTCAGACAGACAAAGCAGAGAGGCAAATAATTCGCCTCTGATTAGAAATCCTTGGAAAGGGGTCGGACAGGGCACTGTAGTCAAATTGCTTTATTGTTCGGCTGCAGTAAAAGACACAGCGGGTCTTTGCTCAAGTTATAAAGTTAAATGGTTAAGTGGACGATTTGAACCGAGGTAAGTCATGTACTTAGCTATCTCCAACACTGAAAGTGATGTTATTAATATCAAACGCTCGCTAGCCAGCGACAGCGGCTAACGTCAGCTAGTATCAGCGTTGGCATGGCTAGCATGTTATGCTAATCATTCCACAACCCCAATGCTACCAAAATAGCCTACGTTAAGTTGCTACTAGCGGTCCTCTGCGATGCCAATGCACTGTTGCCGGTATAAATTCAGCGGCAGCGGTGCTGGAAACGATGGAAATCATCGTGGGTTAGAGGGCTGCAGGCTCGCTAATGTAACGTTACACCGGGCATTGTCCGTGTGCCACAGACACATTTGCTAACGCTAGCTTTTGGGCAAAGGGCGTGAAAGCTGGCATCACCGGCGGCTCGCCCGCAGCGGTGAGACCAGCGACACATTGTGCTCTCTCTGCAGGCCCCATAGTCAGCAAAACAAAAACACATGGAGGAAAAAGAGGTACCCCGAGCTATGGTCCGTTTTAGGACTGGGACAATTTAGAAAACTTCACCGCCAAAGAAACGAGTTTGGGATACACTGGGAGTATCAGATGCATGCAACCTGTATTTAGGTAAGAAAGCTCCTGATTTTGCTTGCATGGTTAAAAAAAAAAAAAAAAAAGAAAAAAAAAAGCAACTTGATTTATGCGATGTCATTTTCTCTGTATTTTATTTTCTTCTTCCATGAGCTTTAAAGAGTTTCTGAAGTTAACGGATATCAAGCTTTCATCAGATCCGTTAGGGATGCGGTTAAAAAGAAGTTTGCTGAACCATCTGTCAGAAACAGGCCCACTTCAGTTGCTCCTGTCTTATAATTAGTTAGTAGAAGAAGGATCATAAACTTCATTTTCTCTGTCTCCCTCTGGGTTACACACCTGTGTTATGTGACCTCCAGTAAACCATTGTAGGGCATTGATTTCTATCGGGTTGAATCTTTGTCCCCTGCAGGGGTTGAACCTGTGCTCCCTGTGTTTCAACCAGTTAAACCAACTTGAGCCAAAGTGAATAGTTAACCCTGTGAATACTTGACCAGAATGGGTAATGATTTCAAATGCTAAGGTTTGTTTGCAACATACAATGTGCCTCTGCAAAAGAACACTGAGTCTCTGAGGCTGTTAGTGCATCCACTTGCACGTTAGACAGTTGCAGATTGAATTGTGTGTAGCTCATCTCTCTGAGGTATGACCAGTTCTACATTGTTTACCGTGCTTGATAATGATTTACCGCTTTTGTAGCCGTCCTTATGCATTCTTAATTACAATTAAAGGGACTAGTTAATGTTCACCAGTGCGAGTAAGCGTCCCTGTGGTACGTAAGTTAATGTATTTCAGTGTATGTGTAAAGCTTGCTGTTACAGTCCTCTCAAGGCTTATATTTACCACACTGTCTTATTAGTTTCCTTTGTGATAACTTCCAAACACGGCATGCACTCTCAAGTCATTTAGTTTTATTTGTGTCCTCTGCGCAGCTTAGACTAACACAGATGTAGAAAAATGCCGGTGACCCCTTTTAAACCATTTATCATATCAGCATAGGTCGGGCTGGCACAGAAGACGGAAAATCTGCCGCAGTCTGATTCCAGTTGCATTGATTTTGAGCACAGCAAATTGCTTATGAAAAACATACAGCGTGGGTGGTGTGCAGAGATCCGGGGATATATTGTAGCTCTTAAAGAGCGGCAGTCAGAATGTTAAGATAGCATCAGCTGTCAAGGTGACTCTGGCACTCTGCGTGTGTTGCCTGCTGGTTCCCAAAAATAGCTGATTTTTATGCCCTGCCCCTCCCTCCCCTTTTCTTTCACACTTCTATCTCACGCTCTTGTCTTCCTTTTCTTACTTGCTGCCTCTTTATTTTCTTCTTGCAGTTTTTTTTCTCCTTTCCCACCCCTCTCTTTCTACTTTACCCCTCTAACTCTCCTCCACTACCTCTCTCTGCCACACTTCCTCCTTTTCCCATCATTCTCATTTTTCTCCCCCATCTGCAACTGCGTTCCTTTTTCACTCTTTCCTACTTAATCCTCTCATTTCCTCCCATCTCATTTCTGCCTGACTTTCCTCCTCGCTCCTCCTCACCTCCATCGCTCTTCTCTTCCCGTTTCCCTCCTAGATCTTGAGCATCCACTTACTTGTCTTTCCTTAACTTCCCCCTGCATTTCCTGTTTCCTTTCCCCCTCCTCTTCTTCCTCCTCTTTCTCACAACCTGTCTGTCTTGTCTCTCATCCAGCAGCAGGATGTCTGAGTTCAGTGAGGAGCCGCGCTTCACTATCGAGCAGATAGATCTGCTGCAGCGGCTGCGTCGCTCCGGCATGACCAAGCAGGAGATCCTGCACGCACTTGACACTCTGGACCGGCTGGACCGGGAGCATGGCGACAAGTTTGGCCGCCGCACCTCTTCCTCCTCCTCCTCCTCGTCCTCCTACGGAGTGGGCGGGGCAAACAACAACTCTGCCTCTAATACTACTACATCATTCAACAATAACAACACTGCCTCGGCAACCACCACCTCTTCCGCGTCATGCAACGGCAACAACAGCGCCGAGGGCAGCGCCGGCGACCACTCTGCGGCCGCCGCGTCTTCCACAACCTCCAAAATCTCCACCGCCACGCAGACGCAGTTCGGCAGCGGAGGGGGACTCTCGCCATCACCCAGCAACAGCTACGACACCTCCCCACCTCCAGGGCCTCCGCCGCCTTCCGCCATCTTGCCCTCACCGGTCTCACTGGTGGCTTTGTCACAAAACGGGAGGGATAGTCTAGCTGCCACACCCAACGGGAAGCTGTCTCCCCCAAGATACCCAGTGAACAGTGCGGCCGCAGTGCGAGCGTTTGGGTTTGAAGCTTCAGAAGAGGACCTGGACATTGACGATAAGGTGGAGGAGCTGATGAGGTGAGTAGTGACGGAGTGAAGTTCTAAAACTTTGTTTGGGAAACTTTTCACTCACAGATGTTTGTACAACTGTCCAACTGGTGCTTGTAGAACTGGACAGCATATTACAGTGAGTACGTTACGGTGGTAGAAGACTAGAAATGGGGTTTTTTGAGCCTGAAATTGGCGGCTGAAAATATGGCAGCCGATATTGTACATTTTTGAGACCTTTTCTATTTGCATTATGCACCGGTATGACTATGCAAAGGTACTCAGAAGGGTGCTTTCTTAAGCAAATAACTTAAATCATTAAATCATTGTAATAATAAAATAATATACATTGTCAACCAATTCTAGTTGACATTGCTGAGAGTGGCTTCTTCTCTCTCCCTCTGTGCTGCTTGCCACAGTGTTGTAAATCACAGAGCACTCTGCTGGATAAACATTTCAGTGTCACCAATATATTACCACAGGCGTTTTTTTTCTGCATGATATACTGGAAAAAAACCAGTATTCATGTTGGATAACATATACGCCGATAACAGTACGTCCGCAATAGGCCAACATCATCTGATATTATCGGTCGAGCGATAATATCGGCCAGCCTCTATAAAACTAGATATCATCTGAGATTGTAGATCTTAATATAGAGACATGGCTGTGTTGTCTTTTTGCTGGTTTATTCAATAACGTGTGAACTGTAGTGTGAAGTAGACTGCTCATGCTGTCTGAAATGAACAGTGAATAAATTAATTTCCATCATATCTACATTACTAATGATCCTTTCACAAAATGTTCTTGTGTATAAAGCACACAAGAAAGCACTAAAGGTGCTCCTAAAAGCAACCTTGAAGGCTGTTATCCATCTTTTCTGTCCAATATGTTTTCATTTAGAACGGCTTGTGTTACAGTGGCCGCTTGGTTGGAGTCGGGGGTGTGTCTTTATTGGCAGTAATGCCTGCAACGATGAGGCGAGAAAGCACAGTTTATGTCAGGCTAAATTAAATGGCACCAACTGGAAACTCAAGCTCCATTGTGTTCAGCTGCTGTTGGAACGCATACATGAAATTCACTCTTCACCTTGGAAACGACAAGAAAACAGTCTCACTACAAAGTTAATTTAATTCTGGAGCTTTTGATTATATCACATGAGCTTTATCAGCATGGTGTTTGCCCACTTGAAATGTTTTTCCTGAGCATTTTAAAGAAATCTGAAAGACGTTGTGGCATAAAAGCTCAGGTTCACAGTTGATTCTTGACCTTGGAATCAGAAGTGGAGGAAACACCCCAAAGTCCATTTAGTAGCTGTGCTGGAGCTTTTGATTAAAGGTTTATTGTTTTAACAAGAATCCGTTTTTAACTCTTAACACAGTAGTTTAGTTCTGTGGCTGCAGGTTATGTTCACCAGGATTTAACTGTTTGAAAAGAGCGTCAATATAAATGTGGTTGCACTGACTGATGCCACTGATGCAAGTTGGAAATACTGTCACTTCTGTGAGACCTTTTAAGGTGCATTTCTACTTTGCGTTGAGGTGTCACAGAGGTCTAACTGCAGGTAAAAACCTGGCTTGCTCCTAACTTGGTTGGTATGTCCTACATTATCTGCCAGCGTTAATTTATGATTACCCTTGTGGCAGCTCCAGTAAAGAGGACGTTCGCGCCGGCAATGTCTTTGCTAGATGACAAAAGCCAGTTCAAGTCGACCAATCACAGCTCTTGTTGGTTCCATGTAGTTCGATGTGCAGTTCCATTGTTGAGGAGGCGGAGCTACAGCAAGATATGTGGATTATTTTGAATCAATGAATTCATTGTTTTTGTCCATTAGAGCTGCAATGATAGGTCAATTAATCGTTTAGTTGTTACGACAACTCTTAAATTAATAAACTACCAAGTATTTTGATAACAGATTAATATCCAAATTAAAGAGTTCAGCTTCTCAAATGTGAATAATGTCTGGTTAATTTAGTCCTCTATGGCAGTAAACTGAATATGTTTGGATTGTGGACCAAACAAGACACTGGGCTTTGGGATTTCTAACATTTTATGGACTAACCAACTTGTTGATTTAATCGAGAAAATGATGGGCAGATTGATTGATAATGAGAATAATGGTTACTTGCAGCCCTATTGTCCATAAAATGACAAGGAAAATGGCCATCATCACACGTCTTCTGTCTTCAAACCAAAACCCGAACCCAGAGATGAAAATGTTGGGACCAGTGAATGGTTCAGTGCAGATGAACTTTCTGTTGACTGACTAATCGATTAATCAGCTAATATTTTAGCTCTACTTGATGCAGAAGCCGAATTGAGCTTTTACTGCAATTGACTCGTAAGTTTGCTAACCACTAGTGAACAGCACATGTTCCTGTTTTGAACTGTGCAATAGGCAAGGTAAATGACAGCTAAAGATGCACAATTGAAGAACAGACATGAAAGGTGAAGTGTTGGCACAGACCTTGGCTTCCTTTTTTTATTTTAAAGCACAGCGGGACCTCATGACAGTTGTGATTAGCACATTTGTCTCGTACAGCTCGTAGCACATGAAGATGTACATCCTGTGATGGAGAATCAAAATAACAGACTTGAATAAAGGCGTTCTTGTTGAGATTATGCCTACAGTCAACACAGAAAGGAAGTATTCTGCTGCAGACGTTTGAAAAGCCTTCAGGGTTCAAGATGACATTTGCTAACAAGGAAGGAAGAGAAGCCGTTAGAAGCGTGCACCTCTGGAAACATTACATGAAAACACACAGTGCCATCAAATAACATCACATGCTCTGTAGTTACTTAGGCCCTTTATTGTGACAGTGTTCATAATCTATCACAGTCCCCATGTTGGACAGCTCTTCTCTTCTTCCAACCACTTTACACATTAGCCCTCTCCTCCTGCCGCCCTCCAGCTGCCCCGTGTGAACAGTCGAAGTAAGAATAGACATTCAGTGCACTAGCTGTCCCGTTGCTCATTCACGCTGCCTCTGCATTAAATTACACGTCCTCTTTAGAGAGTCCAAGAAGTTAAGGAGCGTTCAAAAGCCCTCGTCCTCTCCGCCTGTAGGACTCTCCAGCGTCTTGCTCGGCAGGGCTGCGGGGGCGTGACATGAGGTTTCAGCTTGTCAACAATCCCACGGTGCCCTTCTGATTTTTCTCCCTTTTAAGTGCACATTTCCATCTCTGCAGGGGTTCAGCCTTTGAGTTGGCATCTAACACATCTCCCTCCTCTCCCTCCTCCTCCTCCTCCTCCTCCACTTCCCACTCTTCCTCAGTCTTGTACAGCAGCTTGTGCTACATTGATTCGCTGGTGTCGATACAAGCAGCGTTTTTTGAGCTCTAATTTTAGCTGCGCCGCAAGAGGCTGGTGTGGAGGATATTGATGCTGGATGTCAAGAGTCGTGACGCATTTTCATTTCAGAAATATGCTAACAGAGAACTCAGGACTTTTGATGCGTTCTCCGTTTCGATTGTGTCTGGGATACTGACTGGTTCAAAGGATGCTGTGATTGTATGGTTTGAGCACCGGTGTTGTTAAAGTTGGGTGGGGGTAGGCGCCCACTGGAAATGTCTTCCAGTAAAAAGTAAATGCACTATTAGTATGGATAAAAGCACCGACCAGTTTACACATTCGATAGGTGTTCACAATCTCGTACCACAATGAGAAATTAAGCTGAGACAGTCACAAGCTTGTTGGTGTGTGGGTGTGTATGTATGTATGTATGTATGTATGTTATTGTGTATGTATGTATAGGGGAGGGGAATGGGCTGGAAGCCAGAAAGCAGGGTGGGTACACTGTGTGACTGCACATGTTCACTCACCACCCTCCATGCCTGCAAGTCTGTGCATGTTTTATTTTTCCCCCGCGGAGGACTGATAGTGGAAACATGTCCGACCGCCAAATACATTTTGAAAATCTAGATGACTTGATTGTGGCTCAGTTCATTTAAATTCACACAGTCGTTGCCTTTGTGCTCCTCTGAAATGCAACGTTGATTATGTGGGAGCCATAAAAAAATAGAAAGAGAACAATGCATCGATAATGCTGTCAGAATGCACTTAAGATTCAGATGGAGCATTGGTTTTGTAGGTTTCCCATGAATAGGTACAATACACAACAGAGCTTTGATTATCTGACATATGAATCAGGTTTTGTATTGAATCACAGTCAGAAGTGTACAACGTGTAAGCTTTTGTCGTTGTTGCTGATGAATTAATGATTGATTGAAAAAATAAAAGCTTTGATTCTGGCCATACGTTAGTTGTCGATGTATTCTCCCTTCACTACTTTTATTATCAGTCTGTCAACTATGTTTTATCACCCCTTACTTATTCAATTAAAAAGAAATCAGCAGTTTGTTGACATGCGGTTGGATTTGTCCTCTTCTTGTACATTTCCTGATGTAAAATACCAGCTTGCTTCTTGCAATTTTCCTGCTGACAGTGCATTAAGATGTATTGTGCTGTGTGTGTTTGCAGGAGGGACAGCAGCATGGTGAAGGAGGAGATCAAAGCGTTCCTGGGGAACAGGAGGATCTCTCAGGCGGTGGTTGCACAAGTTACCGGTGAGTAGCAACACCGACACACTCTGGAACTGTGCTCTTAATTTGAGGTGTTTTTTTTGTAAACATGCAGTCATTTTGTCCGTCATGCACATATATTTGGTGTTAAATGTGTGTCTCTGCTGTTGAAATGTACATTTGTATGTTAAGCAATGCATAGAAGATCTGGGGTGGGGGCTCTTATACGTCTACTTAAAGTGGAAAGAGACATTAATTGATGAAGTAAATGTTGATGGCACAGTGTAATGACTGGAATAATGACACCTCCCATGTTTAGATTAGTTTTCTATAAGCCTCACTTTTCACTATACTACTGGTTCTCAAACTATGGTACGTGTACCACTGGTGGTACGTGAGCTGCCTCTAATGGTACAAGGAGGAATCTCCTTAAATTAAATTAATTTATAACTGTAATACTATCAAAATACAACCTTTTTTTTTTTTTTTTTTTACAACAAATTGAATATACTTCAATTATGGGATCACTAAAATGGATTTTAAATGAATTTTTGCATTTCTTTTTCATTCTCGTTCATGCACGTAGCTCATGCATACACCTGTGATTAGTTACGAGCTATATTGTAATGGAAAGCTAGTAAGTGGAGGTAAAATGAATGGTTCAGAAACACAGCAGTCATGGGTCCAAACGGGAGCTATTGCAAAGCAAAGTGAAAAAGGAGTACCCCTTTTGGGATCAGCCTTTACAAACCTAACCCAACAAAATATCAAGCAGCCAGTAGAGAGGAGTGAGAGCAGTATTTCTGAGACTACAGCTTGTGTGAGAGACAAGTGATCGGAGAAGAAATAAATTCAGAGCTAAGGAGAGAAAAACACTTTCTCCCTCTAGTATTCCCCTCTGTCTCTCTTGAATCCTTCCAAGGGGTTGTCTACAAATTGTATCGGGGCTTGATGCAAAACACTCTTGTAATTCGATGTCTGGCTGCTTTCCAGGCATCAGCCAGAGCAGGATCTCCCATTGGCTGCTGCAGCACGGCTCCGACCTAAGCGAGCAGAAGAAGAGGGCCTTCTACCGCTGGTACACGCTGGAGAAAACCACACCAGGTACATTCGAGTGTTTCCACCTTCACACCAGTCGCTCTTCACTCTGTGTGCCTCATATTAGTATAGCTTATTGAGGGACAAAAATGGAAGCAAAAGTTTGAAGGGCAGAGAGGGCTCCCCGGTCCATGAAAGTGAGTCAAGCGGCGTGCAAAGCTACGGTTGACCAAGTGGAGAAAAGTTGTGAACCTGGGTGTACAGATAGCAGAAGAGTTAGCGTTTAACCGCAGCAGGGGGCAGATCCAAAGAAAGGAAGCACAGTAGGAAAACACTCTGCCGCCAGCAGTTTCCTGTGAGACTGTTAATGAGATAAGTACAAGTAGATGGCGTCTTGTGGTGTATGTGGTGCTGTGAGATGTATGTATATATATATATGTGTGTATATATATATATATGTGTGTGTGTATATATATGTATATGTGTGTGTATATATATATATATATATATATATATATATATATATATATATATATATATATATATATATATATATGATGCCTCAATTCCACAAATATCTCATATGTTAGCAGAAGTTTCTTGAAGTGTAAAATGAATTGGAAGCTGGTGGAGATAACGGCAGCAGTTTGTAGGAGCTGAACTGTTTCGGTCATTTTTGCACCTGATTTGTGTTTAGTCTTTTGATGAAAATGTGTTATAAATGTCTGATAACGTAGTGATTTTTCTTAAACGAACAACAAGAGGAACATTTAAACAGGTTGATAGTTGACATCCTGTAGCAGTACCGGAACTCATTACTTCCAATTACAGATGTTCAGATACCATTTTTTTCCATCCTGATACCGATACCTGAACTTACCAAGTGCGTGCGTGCGTGCGTGCGTGCGTGCGTGCGTGTGAAAAACTTTTAACAAGCTTATACTACTAAGCCTGTATGATTGCTATCATTGTTGTATGGCCTGGCTCAGGTTAAACCCTTTGTCGGAGTAAGGCGGGTCATGACTTAGCAATGGCAAATGAGACAAGGCTTGCAGTAGCCAGGTCCTGTTCAGGGCTAATAAATTACATGGTATCAGATGGGTGCACAGACAAGCGTACTGGCTGATATCCTTTGCATTTTGGGCAGTGTTGGAAGCTTTTCCAGTACTGGTATCTGTATAGGAAGGTCTGAATGGTGACAATAAAAATGACACTTTTTCTTCAAAATACAAACTAGTGCTGGAACACGTGAAATTTAAAATTCACAGCGTATGAGTGCAAGTGGCCGTGCTTTGTACTCTGGGGGTGTAGCCTGGGGTGTTTGTAGAAAATAGCCTGACAGGAAAACCTGGCAGTTCTCTAACGGAAATCTGTGGAAACTAGCGAGCCATGAACCCATAATCATGACACCAAGCCATCTGAGATCTAATGTGAGGAATGTTTTGGATTCAAAACCACAGATAGAAAAATCTGAAGTAAGGTTGATTGCTTCTTTTTTAATATACAACTGCCTTACAGTAAACGTTACCATGACAACAAATGTGAAATCCCCTCGTTAGCTTGTCACTCAAGTGAGTCAGCTCGGTATCACAAATGAACTGAACGGTGATAATTCTAGTTAGTTGAGCTCTAGGGCCTAATTATTGAATATGCATGGTCTGTCTGTCTTTGTCTTATTTGTATTGTTCCAGGTTGGTACTCGACACTTAAAATGTCGTCAAGGAGAGAAATCTTTAGTAAGTCGAGTCTCAGTTTCTCATTTTTGTGACAACTCGAGGTTGAGTCAGCAGCTCTGAAATGTTAACACGCCGTAGTCCGGCTTTTCATCTCTCATGAAAAATCAGCGTTCACATATGCAGAGGCCAAAATCAAGAAAGACGCATAGTCAAAAGATGAGTCTGTTGTCTTGCACAACCTGAAATCCACCCTTCATTGCAAATGGTTAACAGTAAAAACAACAGGCCTCGCGCTGGCTTCGGATGCGTATACGTGTGCGTGCGCTGTATCAACCTATAGGCAGGCAGCAGACATCCCACGCCTTGTCCTCTGCGGCATGTTCCTCGGTGGAGCCCTGCCAACACCGACAGCAGTGGAAACTGCTCTATGCTATTTATGGCCAGACTGAGCCCGGCCCAGCTCAGCTCAGCCCAGCCCCGCACACACGCCTCCATCACTGCTGCAGAGAAAACTGATGCCCCATTCACGCCGCTCTGATAAGCTGGACTGTTGCAGGGCGACCCAGTTAGGCCTCGCTCACAATGCCCGGCGTGTCACATTGGGTTATGATAGTGAGAGTGTGAGCTTCTGACCCCATCATATATCTAAGCTTTTAGCTCGAATGTGGCTAGTTTTAAGAGTTTGAGTGCAAAGGAAACCTTCTGTGTGGTTTTCTCTTCTGCTGTGGTCATGATTTGAGATGAGGCGGAACAGTCTTTGTCAGCACTATTCAGTCAGAGTTTATAATCAGAATGTATTGTGAGATTTGCAAAAGGCGACGTGCATGATCACATGCATTTTCATGAAGGGATGGGCTTTCTGACCGTTGTGTGCTGTGCTCAGTCCTTCTGTCAAAACAGCCACTACACACATTATTACTACTTTGTTTTTGTTTGTTTTAACTTTAGTCTGTTGATGTACCATCATCAGTTGGAACTAACCAGTGATTCTGCTGCAGGTGCCACTCTAAACATGCGGCCAGCTCCGTTACCTATGGAGGAGATGGAGTGGAGGCAAACCCCGCCCCCCATCACCACTGCCCCCGGAACCTTCCGGCTGCGTCGAGGAAGTCGCTTCACTTGGAGAAAAGAGTGCCTGGCCGTGATGGAGAGGTGAGCAGGGGAGGATGTGGGGAGGAAAGGAGTAGATTAAAGATCATAAATGAGAGTTTGTTTCATATCTTGTCCCTTATTTCCACATGGAGTTAAAGAAACATTGCAACCTGTCCAAGAAAAGGACTCAACAATTGTCAGAGTCTCAATATTGGCCTGGTTGCAGCACATGCATAACAAACAGCAGTAACTCCAGTTTGTTGACATTGTCCTTGTGTAGTGAAATTAATTGAATCACTGTGGCTCTTCTGCTATTTATAGCTACTTCAACGACAACCAGTACCCAGATGAGGCCAAACGGGAAGAGATAGCAAACGCCTGCAATGCTGTCATTCAGAAACCAGGTAAACCACAGAAACCAGCAATGTACCACAATGTAAGAATATTACAACATAACATTTTACTTATAGGGATGAGCGAGCGCTCCATTTTCTGTATCTGTTCAACCAGCTAAATAATCTGCATACATATCTGTACTCTGACTCAAACTGGACATGGGTGGTGTTTGAGTCAGAAGCGGACGGGACTAATCGGAAGTTGTTCATTTAAGACTGGAATTGATACATTTTACTTGTTTAAGCGGAGTTCTTGCTCAACCCTAGTTTAATGTTTATAGCTTAATTAGCTGGTAGCAAATATTCCTGTACATTATGCAAATATTCTGAACTACCATGAAAACTGCCCCCATCCACACCACCTCTGTAATCTGTCAGCCATGCAGTGTTACAGAGATGGATAATTACTTGATTAATCAATAAACTGATCAGTAGAAACTATTTTATAATTGGTTAATCGATTAAATGCCAAAACAGCCCCCGTTACAGCAGTTATTGCTGATGTTCTTTTGTGACCAGGCCATCTTGGATCTGAGGTTTCTTGGACTTGATCAAAATTTTACAGACCAAACATCTGTATCACATCTGGCGTGTGATCTGCTCCTTGCGCAGTGGGATCGGGTTATTTCTTTCCAACAGACATTGAAGCGCCGTCAGTTTACAAAAGCAAAGAGTGGAATTCACAGCTCGAGGGCGCAGATAGATCCTAACAACAGGCTCAGAATGAAATAAAAAGATTAGAACAGACCGGCTTATGATTTTGACAGTGGAAGACTCTCAGGTGAGAATGTGAGTAAGTGATACAAGACTGTCATTTGATTTGTTTCAGGGAAGAAGCTGTCTGATCTGGAGCGGGTTACCTCCCTGAAAGTTTACAACTGGTTCGCCAACCGTCGCAAAGAGATCAAGAGACGGGCTAACATTGGTAATGGTGCTCTGGGGAGGGAACACATTTATTGACATGCGTTAACATGACCATTTCATATTTAATTATAGCAATTATAACATTTTCTTATACACAGAATAGGCTCACCATGAATTCATTCCATCGCTGTAATTAGGTTGATGATTGGTAATCAGTCACCTGACATCTGTCATGACCTCTGGCAAATTATACAATTCCTCTTGCATTAACCTAGATTCCAATTAGATTTGTAAAGTAGAGGCTCCATTACATGCTAGCCAAAGGACTCTTCAGAGAGGACAACAGAACTTATTGAAGACATTCAGGATCATTTGGCCAAAGTCTGTGCTGTAATTCACAGCTGTCTACAGCAGTAGGTCCCAACCTTTTTTTGTCCGATGTACCCCAGCGGTCAGTCAGATGAGCTTCATCAAAACGTCATTTTACAAAAATCTGTTCATTTGAATAGATTTTAAACTGGATGTTCTTTATCACTGTTGAATTATATTAAAGTAGATATTTGCGCAGTATTTTTTCTAGGTTGGTTAGGTTGGTTTAGTCAGTTTGCATTTGTACTCCTGCCACTCGGAGTAGCAGAATTTGGACGTTTCAACCATTTATCCCTTAGTTTAAGCAAACTGTTTCAACCGTTAATCCATTAAAGGTGCTGTAAGTCAAATAGGCATTTTGGCTAACTTCCTGTCCGTTCTCGCAGGTAGCAGTCGCCTCCCTTCTCCTCACATCACCACAGTAAAATTCTGTGCCCCTGAGGACCGCCTTTTTCTGGACCTCTGTCCCCTGATTGGATTAAGTGGGAGCGGCATACCAGAACATTCATTCTCTGTTTACTGCAGAAAGGAGGGCCATGTTACTGACTGAACACTCTGTATCAGTAATAGCAGTCAGAATGTAAAGCTGTTTAACACTTATTTAAATAAAATATATCACTTAATGCACCTTTTAATATTTTGAACTATTTCAACCTCACAACTTTAACTTTCACCTGCTGTCCATTATCTGTTTAAACTGTTTATCCAATGCTTTAAGCTACCTATGTTACGCATTTATCTATTGCTTTTACCTGTTTACATTTATATGTTCGCTCGCTAACTACTTTTCACCCTCTCTCAATTGCAGCACATTGTGTTCAGGTGCTCCATCTGACTCTGTGTGTCAGTATACACTCAGTGGTCACTTTTTAGGTGCACTGGTACAATCTAGTGCAATCCAATACAACAGTTCTGCCATAAAGTCTACTTTATAACACTTCAAGTGTTTATTTTGACAGTCAAAGAGGTGATTATTCATTTATAATGTTTTACCATTGAGATCAACTGATGGTGGAGTACTGGACTGCATTATATTCAGAGGTCTTTCTAATAATCTGCGCCCTCATGTATGTAAATGGAAAGGAGAGAAATGGACATTGTAAACTTTGCAAAGGTGAAATATATGGCAGAACTGAATGAAATGCAATAGATTGTACAGACGTACCCACTGTAACAAAGTGACCACTGAGTGTATATATTTTAAAATCTAAATTTGAATTATTTTTAAATGAGTTCAGCCGCTCCACAATCTCTCCATGTACCTGTGATTGGGAGTCACTGCTCTATAGTATGTAATGAGGGACATAATTGGTGATCCATCGTAAATCTAATAATCCATCCTCTTCCTCCAAGAAGCCACAATCCTGGAGAGTCATGGGATAGACGTCCAGAGTCCAGGGGGACACTCCAACAGCGACGACATCGATGGAAACGACTTCTCAGAGCAGGTAGAGAGAGATTAAGGGTCCCAAAAGACACATAAAACCAGATTTATGTTCCAGACAGTACTGTAAACGACTGGACTGAGGAAAGGGAAAGAGGCCGCTTCTCCTTGTGTTGCTGCTTCATGTCTTTGTTTTGTATTTTACTGCGTCTAATTTTTCTTTATTCATTTATAATTTTTCTTTGTTTTTAAGGATCAGCCTCTTGCCAGCCATTCACATGGAGCCCTTGGCAAAAGGCTTTTCTTGGACAGCACTCAGTATTCCAGTCATTAGTCAAGTGTGATCATGCATTTTACGCGTCTTTCATTCCAACTAAACAATACATCAGTTGACTTTACTAATTAGTTGCCCTCTCTCTGGCTAAAGTTGTGTTAATAATTGAAATCAGCAGCTCGTGGTGTTTGTTTGGAGTTGAACCCTGTGGCCTCGCTGGCACATTACCGCTCACAAATTCACACAGAGACAAATTGCAAGAACATTTGAACTGCTGTTTTCCCTCAGATGAACTCTGAATATATCCGTTCCCAAATATAGAAAGCACATAAAGTTCTTTTATTTTTATGAAGAATTGCTGCTCAAAGCTGTTGCTCAAGGCACATTAATTAACAAAAGCTCACTATCCTCTTCTTTTTTTTTCCTGTTACCAATGGAAACTTAAGCTGGAGCATTGAAAAGCAGCAACGCTCTGTATTATTGTAGAAACGCACACATGAAGATTGTGTTTCAGTTCAGTTTCACTCTGTTTGCACAACATGCAAACTCTCCTGTCAAGTCAATGTGAAAACAGCCAGTTAAAGTTAACCATTCCAGCTAATGAATAATGAACACATCAAACTGTTCTGTCTCCTAGCGATCTACATGTGTGAAAGAATTATTTCTTCTTTTTTTTTTTTTCTTTTTCAAATCCTACCTAGCTAACTGGCTGCTTTTATCTCCTCCAGGCATGTGACTTGCCCTATTTTGACAAGAGACCTCTCAGCCGACCTTTTGGCCTTTACCGACTGGAGCCCACCTCGCCAACGCAGGTACATCCACGCACACCAACGCCAAACGGGGAGCCGGTTCTCTTAAACCCGCCATCGTATTTTCTCAGTTTTTGTCTCCATCCCAATCCATTCTGATCAGCCTTTCATGAATTCTGTTGCTGCATATCTGTTGTGCCTGTGGTTGCAGGGAGCACTGCTCTCCAGCACAGTTCAAAAAGAGGCCAAGGGGAAATCAGACAGAGGTTAAAAGAGGTCCTTTCATCACAATTATACTCTGATTGCATGTCTTTAAATAGCTGTCAGTATACAGTAATCAGACAGCACGTCATTTAAAAGAGGATTTGAGGCTCGATGTCATCGCCCAGCCATTTTCTGGCTCCTGTGACCTCAGCTTGAAAAATGTCTCATGACTTTAACATCCAAAATACTTTGTTTTCAGAAATATAACTCAACTGTAAAAACACACTGCAGCAGATATTATATGGTTGATTAGATTTTGGTTGGTTTGGATCCGCAGTAGGTTGCAGGCTCATAGTTTTACCTTGCTCAAGAATGTCCGGGTTAGAATAACATATCTGACAATACTTTTCTGGCCATGAAGAATATTTGGATATCTGGATTTCAAGAGCAGGTGTGATTGCACTGCGAGTTTTCCTTTGCTCTGAGGGGGCTGACCAAGTTCTGATGAGAACTGATCATTCGCTGAGCTCTGGCTACCGTTCACACACCCTCTCTCTCAGACGGCACATATGCAGATTACAGTGACACAGATTTACGACTCAGCAAACAACCTTTCAGACAGAGATAGACAAACGCAGGCTTCTCCTTTAACAACTGTCGCTGTGAGATTTCATCAGCTAGCCAGTTAAGCTAACGTCGGCTCCATTTGTTGGTTGCAGACGGCGTCTCCAGCTGACTTTATGTTTCCAGCTGCCTTGTTTTAAAACGAGAACCCTGTAAAAGGCTCTTAAACATGCACTCGATGGCTACATAGATGATATAATGCTGAAAGGCTGACCCTCAGCACCCTCACCCACCGAGTAAAGAAACAGCATTGGGTTACTACTGCCAGTCAGACCCTTCTCTTCCTCTCCACCAGGCATGGCTTTATGAGGCTGTGGTTTGGCTCCGTCATTGCTGCATCGTGTATTTTGTCCTTTTTCCGTGATATAAGTGCTTCTATCATAGATAAGTTGGCTAAATAGTTCACTGGTTTCTTTTCTGTCTGTTTTAGTTGTGTTTGTTGTTGTTAATTTATACTTCTTTAATGTAGCATGAAATTCGCTCCAAACTCTGCACGTGGTATTTTATTTTGAAAATTGACCCGATTCTGTACTTCCTGTCAGTGCAATCTGCTCTATGCTGCTAGTCGTGGTCGAACGGGTGGAAAATGAGTCCCATCTACAGAATTCCCATTCCCCCCCCCCCACATATTCTGAATGCTTGGCGTTTGATCTTGACTGTGGTCTTCCCACTTTCCCTCCCTGTCTCAGGACGACAGCGCGGCGCACAGCGAGCACCAGGACCCCATCTCTCTGGCTGTGGAGATGGCTGCCGTCAACCACACCATCCTGGCCCTGTCCAGAACCGGAGGGGTCCCCAACGACATCAAGACGGAGTCCCTGGAGGACGAATGAACTGCACCCGAACTGGGATGGAGGAAGCGGAAGAGAGAAATGAGAGGGGAAAGGAAAGGAGGAGTAGAAAAGGTGGGAAATGGGGGGAGTGGGGGCTGAAAAAAAGAGACCAAAATAATACCACTTAGTAAACCCTCTGAATCTGTCCCTCAGCCAGCCCCCTGCCAACTGTTCCTTCTCTCTCGGCTTCCCTCCTCCCACAAAGTCCATGTAAACAGTAATTACCCACCACCCCCACCCCAACCTACCCAATATATTGACACAGCTGGCGGAAATGGGTCACCATACGTCCTCTGATCTCTGTGAAAATGTTCTACGGAAAGAAGAAAAGGGGGGCAATCCAGGCCTTTAACCCCCTCTCCCCTCCTCCCCCCAAAAAACGGTGGTCCTCGTCTGGGATTGTGTCTCCCAGCACCTCTTTCCCCCCCAATACACTCTCTCCTCACAGGATACCTCTTCTCTCTCTTCTCCTCTTCCTCACTCCCCCTCTCCCCCCCAGCCTGGTTGTCTGAGCCGATCCTCAGTCTATCTCACCTCAGCGTCAACCTCAGAAAAATAACGTGTACTGTATATATAATATATATATGGTTCTTATGGTTCTCAGTCACACTCACCTCATGGTGTGCTACCTTACCTACCTACCTACATACCTACATACCCCTCACAATTCAACCTCTTCATCATGCAGTCTATCGGAAGAGTGTCTGGGCACAGATGGATGCTGAGAGTGTCCGCCTCTCCCTCTCTGGCACCGAGGCAAGGATAATACCGGACAGACGGAACTGTCCAGTCACTGTCTTCTACCCTCTGTAGTTATCATTCCTCAGCGGAGTGGCTTTCTGTTTTCCTCCAGTAGAGCTGCTGTTGGATGAAAACCTCTAAAAAGTCAGCTAAAAAAAGAAGTAGCCTTAATTTCATACGGACAACTACACCTTTACTTTTATGCAGTATACAGCAGGTTTTGAAGTTTTCTCCCTGACAACGAGGAAGAACAAGAAACTTTTTAGTACGCATATAAAATGCCAGAATAAAGTCCAACAGCAGCAGCAGTTTTAGTTCTTCCACCCGCATTTCCCTCTGTTTTGAACCCAAACAGCGACTGGATATACAATCATTTTGCCATTAGCTTCCCAGTGCCACTATCGTTAAGTACTCGAGGCAACAAGAATCAGTTTAGGGTCAATGTGATAATCAAACTTAAGCTATCTAATAAGGGGAATCGTGCTTTGTTTTTAACGTCATCCATGCCAAAGGAAAAGATGCTCGGAGCAAAAAGCGTAGAGGCTAAGCTAAGACTGATCTGAAAGCGGTGTTCGCATTCACCCAAAGCGATTTCTACTAACTCCTTTGGCGTACGTAGGTCATTTCTCACGCCCAGTGAAGCTTCTTGAGCCAGTGTGGCGTCAAATGTGGGCGTGGCACTACAGCGGGCCTGTGTCAGTAAAGGTAGGTGTTAGCAGCCAGATATATAATGATTCAAATACCCCTAAGCTATTTACTACTTGTTCTGTGACGCTGCCTCTTTATAATAGCCTAAAGAATGTGCTTTCAGAAGATTTTTTTTTTTTTAATATCAGTGGTAAGAAATCTAAATCCACACTGGAAATGGTTTAGAATATCAGAACTTCTGAGGCGGTTTCTGTTTTTATTTCATCTGTATAGCCTCAAAGGTAAAAGCACCACTTTGAAGGGAATACAATACATTTAAAGCGGTGACATTGGAAATCATTTTCCACTTCTTGTTTTTTTGCCCCAGGTGGAACTTTTCCAAAACCATCTTTGAATTAAGATCATCATAATGTTATAAGCAAAGATAAAGTGGTGTGTTCCTGAAAGGTAAAGTCCTGTTTCTGGGGGCTCACGGATTGTTTTTCAGTCTCAGACTGGTATCTTCAAATTTGGCCTTAGGGTGAGAGGGTTCAAATAAAAGTTTAGATTTTTTGGGGAAATAAGCGTATTCGCTCTTTTGTTGAGAGTTAGACGAGAAGATTGATACCACCCTCATGCTTGTTTGCTAAATATGAAGCTAAAGCCAGGAGACAGATAGCTTAGCATGAACAGCTAGCCCGGCTCTGTCTAAGGTAAAAAACTCAAATCTGTCCGCTAGCACCTCTAAAGCACGCTAATTAAGCTGTTATATTTCGTTTTTATTAAAGCCATAATGTTACAAAAAATGAAGTTTAAAAATGTCAAGTTGACCGACGGTTACGTGCTGAAAGTATTTTTTGGCACAGTGACGTCCTGCACGCCTTTTCTACTTTTCCAGGAGATATATGGAGTTCATTAGTGGGCTTTTTAGGTGCTAGTCGTTAAATATGTTCACTTTGGACAGAGCCGTGCTAGCTAGCTGTTTAAGCCTGCTTCCAGTCTCCATGCTAAACTGTGGCCTTGGCGCTAGCTTCACATTTAGCTTACAAGCCATGTGTTGCTAGGTGAGTTTCTTTTTTTTTTTACTTGAGCCAGGCTCTTAGCTGCAGCTTCACATTTAGCGTACAGACACGAGAGTGCTATCAACCTTCTCCTCCGCCTCAGCCAGAAAGCTGAAGCGTATTTCCCAAAATGCCCCACTGTTGCTCTGAAGGAACCCCTGCCTTAGCGATGGTTTTGGAGAACTGGGAAAATCTTCTACAAAGCAGGATTGAATAGCCAGGAACCCTCATGTAATTCATCATGTTTTAAATAGTCAAACATGGATATTGGTGATGCATCAAGTAACGGTATCTGGATCCTGCTTGTAGAACAGCTCCCAGCCCTGGGCTCTAGTCTAGTAAAGCTCTATTTAAATCTATTGCTTCTGTGTGTACGAAGCTGCGAATACAGTGACTCAGTCCTGGGACCTGTGTTTCTAAAACAAAGGGTTGAAAGATAAAAACAATATGTATTTATACTCATTTTTTATGGTAATATACAAAAAAGAATGACATATGTTTTGAAATGAAACATGCTTTTATTGTTAAATTAATCATGCTTTTTAATTTCTCCTGAACTTATTTTTTATGTTATCATTTAAACCATTTTTTTGTGTGTCATCCCTTATTTGACTGAACAGCAGTCTCCCCCCTGTTTGTGTCTGAGGTAGAAAGCTATTTTGTGAGAGATGAATGATGATGCACCTTATTTAAAAAAGAATCGCTCTTGACTAAGCTTAAAATGTAATCTACCTTCCCTTGATCCTCCCTTTTGAAACAGCAAACGTCCAGTATACTATAATGGGGCTGGTGTGAACAAACATTTCAGTGCAGCTGCTTCACACACCGTATCGTATTAAGTCAAAGCCCCCCAGTATGTGCTGTTCTCTCCTTAAAGAATCGACACACCAGACTCCAAAGTGAAATCCAGTGATTTAATGTCGACCTTCCTCTTACAGACATTAGAACTACAATTACATATCTATTACTAAGTACTGACTGCATTTAGATTTGTATGAAAATACAATTCATCTTGGTCCGTTGCCATACTATTAAAGTTATTGGAAACACAATAAAATTGTGTTTGATTATGTGGTTTGGTGAAATGTTCCATATCTGGAACTGTAAATGAACTGAAAATGTGTGTATGTTTGGCTACTGACACCCAAAACGTATGAGTTAGCTATTCTCCTTCAGACCTCAGACTCTGATATAATGGAGGACATACACATTTTTAGAATTGACTCACACTACTCACTTGCCAAGCAGTGAAAGTAGAGTGTATGTTGATTAAAACATTGTTCACTATCGACTGGCTATTTTAAGGATTTATTTCTATGGACTTTGGTGTGACGTTCTCTCCCCATACAGAATAAGAATATTGTATTCTAGAAATAGTGAAATAAGTTGTGCGTGGAAAGAAAAGACTACAAAGAGTGCATTTAGAGATTATTCTCTCACTTTAAGACACTTAAATGAATTGCCTTAGTGTTTGAGAGATGCCACAGCCCAATTAGCAAGAACAAGTTTTAATCAAGCAGTATTTTACACGAGCCTTCAAGCTTGACAGAAATGTTTATGGGATTGAAGAAAGAACCCCCCCCTCAAGAAGTAAAGATCCGGTGCTTTTCCAAGAGAAAACTGGAAACGCATTAATCTGAATAACAGGACAGAAACCTGAAGCAGGCTCTTCCACCCAATGTCGTGTGTACTCCAGTGGTAGTGCTTACTCTGAAGGGGTGTCCTCTCGTGGTGTGTCAGGGTCAACAAGTCTACATGTCCTTCTGTCTCCCCAGTGAAAACACCATCCACCTCATCCCAATATAGCTCTGAAAAAGAGGACTGAATGCTGTTGTATCAATCTCAAATCTAGTTATGTTCAAAATTACTGTATTGCCCATTTCAGAATTTAGTGCCTTTTTTGGACAGTAGACTGTTCTGTAATTAAGATGTAGTATATATACATTTTTTTGTACAGTTTCTTTGTTCATTTTTTTAACTTGTGTTTATTTTAGTATGATATATATATATATAATGTACAAGAGAATAAAGCTATATCAATGAGGCTGTGTCTGGGTCTTCTGGTTACAAATATCTGTACACAAATACGTCACACTGACTGACGGCAGCAGAATGAAATTTATTTGACAATACAAAAAGTTGATTTTGCTTTTCATTATCAATATCATGTCTTCATTTTTAAATAAATAAGCAGTGAGGCAGTCAAAAAGATCAACTTGAATGCACAAGTATAAAATATCCTATTTACCAGACAAAAATTAATACTAAATGCATTACAACCAACAGTCCCTCAAGTATCCTTATATCTTGTTCAAATCAATGGGTTCCCATACACACACACACACACACACACACTCACTATAATTCTAAATTTGCTAGCGAAAAAAAGTCACTTCCAATCAATTGACACACTGACATGGAGACGAAGCTGATTAAAAATGTAAAATTTCAGTAGTTTGTGTCAGAAAAAGGAGTGCAAGTTTTGTTTTCCGAAACAGTAGAAATACACATTCAAGAGCTGAAATAAGCTCCAGGTAAATGTTTTCAACCTACCAGCAGCACATCATTTGGTGGTTTATCACTAAGGCACATTTGCTGAGTAGTAGTCGTAATATTTCAAGGCACAAGAATAAAAACAAAACAGCATCCAATCAGACAATACCTGTAGGTACAGAGCAATTTACGACACTTGGAAGTCTATCCAGACATGCAGCTGCATAATACATAACAGTGGAAATATGAGCACAGGAAGGTGTTGTGTAACCAAAATCAGACATCCACCAAAAAATGGTTATTTGCATCTACATACGTAAAAACATTCACATTTTCTGATAAAACATTCAATATTTGTCTGTAGTTTTCAATTACTAAGTACATTAGGTAGGGATACAGTCCTTAAACAGATGATGTGTGAGACGGTTCCGTCTACCAACAGAGGAGCACAGAGTGACTCATCTTGTGTCAACACCAGATACAGTGAAGCCTGTAGCAGATCTGCCCAAATAAAACACTGTATTGTCATTCTTTCTGAAAGCGTACCCTATAATCACATCAACCAGCTGCAGCATGTGGGTGATGGGTGAGTGGGTGTCCGGCAATAAGCCAATTAGCAGATACTGAGCCTCTCAAGTGTTCCACGACTTGCGGTTCTCTCCTCTGCTGCGGCCGCTCGATGCCCCGCCACCTTCACCTTTGGCCAGAGCGGTGAGGGCTGCCAGGTTCGGGCTGGATCCAGACAGGTTGGCACTACGGCGCTTTTGCTGCTGATGCTGGCGACGGCGCTTAGCGCTACACCGGCTCACCCTGTCCGGCCTTACGAGCACTCCGTAACCAGGGTTACAGTGGAAATAGTGCTTGCCACCCACTGAACCATCATTCTTCCCTGAAAAGAAAAGGTTTGTTTGAGATTCTGAGTGGGGATAGAACTAAGAATAATGTACAAAGAATGCAGCGAGGTCAGGTCACAGAATTGGGCGCTGTTCTACTCACCTGCTGGTACCTCCAATTCCACTCCCACCCAGGTACCCTCTGCAAAATCTGTGGGTCCAACGTAACGCACGGTGCCGCTTTTATTGGTGCCCACGGTCACAAACTCCCCTTCTTTCAGCCAGTCAGGAAGAACGGTATTAGTGGCTGCATCTCCTTCCTCAGAGTCAGAGATAATTTCCAGGCTTTCCATCGGCACAGAGAGGTTGAGTCCTGTCCCAAGGCTGCTGGCCCGGTCCACCTGCGCGGGCTTGTCCTCCTCCTCGCCCAGAATACGATGAAAGGATTTGAGGTCTGAAGACTTCACTTTCTGGATCTTGAAGGGGTTTGCTACTGAGACATCAGGTTTGGAAGGCTTACCACTGAACAGAGAAGGATCTGGAGCTGTGGTGGCCTTTGGAGACACACTGGCAGCTGCGTTCTGTTGGACTTCATCAGTGGTTGAGGATGAAGTTGGGATGGAGGTGCCATTTGGGTTTGAGATCTCAGGAGTTGCCTGTTCCTCTGATGTTCCTTGAAGAACCAGATCTTCAGATGAGGCAGGAGCTGGAACCGAGAGTTCAGACACAGGCGGGATCGGATTTGGAGCTGGATCTTGAGCACTGTTGAAGGTTGTTTGGTCTTGTTTGGGCTGCTGCGGCTGACGGACGACAGTTTCAGACTGGCTTTGATCTTCTTGTGCATACGCTTGTGACAGATCAGCTTCTTCTTCATCAGTGGCAGCGACCTCGAGTTCTGAGGGTTCTGTTTGTGAAACTTCTGTCTGTTTGGTTTTATTCTCTTCGACTAACAAAGAATCTTTAAGTGGTTCCGAATTGTCTAATTGTTCTGATCCAATGTGGTCAATTGTTGAGTCTGGCTTTTGTTTGGTCTGGCGTGGTAAGTCTAATTCTGCAACTGAATCAGGTTCTTCTTGTTCCTTCAACTGGACTGATGGAGACTGATCTGGTTCTTGTTCTGATTCAGTATCGTATGCTTTGGATGGCGTGGAGTCAGTTCTCTCTTCATCTGCCTTACTGTCCAAAACCAGCAGTGACTCCTGATAGTCTGATTGGTCCACAAGAAAAGATTCAGGATAAGTCACTTTGTTGTTCTCTTCATCGTCATCTGGCACAGCGTCAAAGCTGTCGGCTCTGCTGCGGGATGACGGAGGCAGGTCCCAGCTCAGGGTGTAGACGTCTGACAGAGTTGCTGTAGATATGCTAGTGGAGATGTATCCGCTCGATGCTTCGCTCGGGCTGGGGATAGAGTCGTCTGTCTCCGGGATGATTGGTGGTGGTAGGGGCACGGATCTGGGGCCCTCTATTTGGAGGTCGGGAGGAATGATTTCCTCAATCGGAACCTAAGAGGGAAACCATGACAACGGTATTCGTGACATAAAATGCAGCAAAAGGATGAATCCTTGTCTGAAGGTCTGTAGAAATGAAAACACTGTACTATCGATCTGAACTATGTTCTGTTTTGGTCTCATCATCTCCTGGGGGAAGTATCAGGATCTTTAGCTGCTGAACGCTCTACTATGTTTACAAGCTATTTGCTAACTTTGTCTGTCTGCTGTTTGTTGACGGCCATGTAGTGTACAATCGGTTTATCTGAGCTTTTCCACTGGAAAAAGCTGCTTGCTGCCACTAAATCCTACACACTTTGATATAAACATACTGATTAAAGCAGCTTTAAAGAGATCTCTACAAACCTGTACAGACAACGTAATGCCACGCTGCGAGGCTAATTAAGTTACCAACTGTGTCTGCCAGTTATTGCAAAACAAAACAGGAAACAAAGAAAATAAAAAAAAGTTAACAAAAGTACAAAGTGAACTGCCATCCACACACGGAAAGTCAGATAATAAAGAACACACCTTATCTCAAAAACAGTTCACATCTGCATTCCCGGTACATACAGATACCTGTAACACCAGCTGGGGCGTGGGGGAACTTACTGGCTGCTGCGGTTTGCTCATGCCCTCTTCAACGCTGGCTGACTGCACCATGATGCGAGGCAAACTCTGCGACAGGAAAGGGAATTTAAAAGATGTTCCGTTGATGACATTTTAAACAAAACGCAAAATCTGTAAATTAGCGCTGAAAGGTTGTCAAGCAGATTTCAAGATGTAATCACGAGCAAGTCGGCGTCATTTCGGCCCGGTTTGGAGCCAGAGATTAGACGTTAATATAAGCCTGTAGATTTCCAAACCTGTTCATTAGACAGCGTGCATGAAGTTGTGATTAGCTGCTGTGAGGGAATTAGAAAGCTCGGGCTTCAGCGTGACAGTAAGACAGAAACCGAGCCTGTGGGGAAAAAGTTAATCTACCATTCTAGAAAGATGACAGATACTGTAGGCTGAACATCACACTGTACTGCTCTCCCTGGCAGCCGCACTGAATACTAAACTAGGATAACTAACTAGGCCAGTTGGCCATCTGTTACAATATATTAGGAGTGCACAGACATATGCCATTATTGCGTATAATCACTTTAGCACATCAATAAATTAGAAAGGAGAAAAATATGGAGCGTATTCTAGTGATCAGCAGTCAATATGTTGATATGAGATGCAGAAAGTGCAATAAAAATATTTGTTCATCAGATCACTCAGACAGATAATCATGATAAACTGGTAAAACAATCAGGATAATTGCACCGTAATTATAATTGCACCCATAATCATTTATCCCTATTCAGTATTCTAGTTACCTCTTTACACTCGATATGATCTGTCAGCTGATTAAATATTGTGTGATTTGCTTCTTAACATTTTTTATTTTTATTTGAAGAGGGTCATAAAAAAAACATATCTCATAATCTTATATCTTGAGATATTTTAAGATGTTTAATAAATTGGGACAATTGTTCAACTGTGTGTGTAACAGTCACAGGATATTAATCAGGACGATTGTTGGACTCCCATGGATCACATTCATTCTTCCAACGCTGCTGATCATAAATGAAGTGGTCTGATTGGGCTCTCTTTGTGCTTTTGCTGTGAGCAGAGCGACAACCTACGTGGACAATATGTCTACCATCAGAGAGCAGGTCAAACACATCTACCCGAGCCCTCTGTGGCTCAGGACAGTACACCTGCAAGTCAACACAACACGTCAGGTGCACAACAATGGCCTCTGCTGTGGTGTTATCACTGTAATATGGACACATCGGTTTTCATTAAAAAGGATTAGAAAGAATCGAGAAAGGTAGCCCGCACATTCAAATATTGTTCTCTGTTTTAAGTCTTAGGGGCATGTCCAATTCTCCTGGAGGGCAGGTTCAAGCAACGTTGTCAGAGGCACGTTGCTGGTCAGGACACATGATTGGGTGTCTGAATGGTGAACATTAAAATGACACAATGTTTGAATGTTTTCCTTTTTAAATCTGTGTGATTCTTTACTTTTATTTGTATGAAATCTACAAACAACAACAACTACCTGAGCTGCCAAAGCCTGATACAGCTGATTCCTCCGTGCCATAGAGCTCTATTGCCACACTGTGTAAGTACTCACTGTTGCTATTAGTGTACTCCTGTTTGAGCGAAGTTAACCTTTTCACAGTGACAATGCTAACGTGCACATGTTAAGCATGTTTACCATCTTAGTTCAGCGTGTTAGCCAACTACAGTTGAGGCGGATGGGAATTCGTTTTGCAGGTATTTCTCGTCTCACAGCAGTCAGGTACAAGTCAAGCCTAAAGTCCTCATTTTTTTTTCCAAGTCTACAGTCTGCTGTAGATAAGATTCAGACTGTTAACATGAATCTGTAGTCATGGGGTATTTACATGGTGGCCTTAATACAGTCTCCAACAGTTAAGCTACAGATCATTCATATCACCAGAAAGGTAGAACTTGGGATTTGTAAAGTAAACGGAATCCGTCCACTGCACTGTACTTTTTCAGCCAGGTGTTGAGCTCGGGGCTATAATCAGCCACTCATCCAATTTACGTCAACAGCCTGCTAATATTTGCAATACTCGAGGCTTTTGTTTTTCTGTTGACCTTTCTAAACATCTGTGGCAGGCAGGGTGGAGTGAAGCACTAATTGGAGCGATGGCCTCAAACAATGTACCAACGAGGCCCGGCGGGTTTCCATCCCAAACCAAACAGCACGGCACATGATTTCCCTGATTAGCTTCCCTTCGCGGCTCAAGGTGCTAATCAGTCAAATCAGATGCTGTAGTGTTTGGCAGCAATGAAAAGCTGCAGACTCCCGGGTCTCGATGGCATATGATTGGAGATCAGTGGATGAGGAGGTGGTGGAGGAGCGGGGGTGCGACGCATCAGTGCGATGGTTTTCACCTGCTCCTAATTAACCCTCCTCTACACACAGTGTGCTCCTGCCTCAGCAGGGGCTGTTTGTGGAGTCTCAAACATCATACAGCACGTCAATCACTTGGGAGACGTTTGAACTGTGTGTGCTGATGGTTACAGTCGTAACCTGGGTGCTCAAGTACCCTGGGTTTGATTCAGCAAACCTAGTGTTGTTACTCAGAGTAACAGCTATGTTTATTCTCAACACAAAGCCTGGAACACTTTCAACGCTCTTATTAACTATTGCTTTGTTTCATTAGCAGTAAAATGTAGCTAGTAGCAGCATTTTAATACTTTGTTTGCTGGTGGACTGTTCTATTTGATGGAATTTAATGGAATAGTTATTAATGACATCGGTGGCCGTCAACATTTCCCATAATCCAACTTGTCTTGCCGCATTCATGTCATACATTACTCTTTTTACCAGTGTCCAACTTTTAAATATGTTTAAACCAACATCTAAGTCCTGAATATGACCGAAAAACTCCGGGTTGTTTAAAAACAAAAATCTTGGATAAGTCTGAAAAAAGCAAATATTTCAATTCAAATTCAATGTCCCTGTTTGCAACACAGCCTCTCTGTAATAAATTTGTAGTCTAACAAGATGAACTCCTCTGGTTTATTTACCAGTGTTTTCAGCTGTCTTTCCTTCATCGGGCTGCTGTCTGAGGTTGTAAACCAGTAATGTGATAGATCCTACATATGCAAATCATCTGTTTAGATCATTTCATCTTAACTCAGAAAAATAAATCTAAGATCTTTCAAAATAAAGCAGCAAAAGTAATAAAAAAAAAAAACACAGTATACTCAAGTCTCTCAAATCTCTTCTTATTTATGGATAACACCAACTAATGTAAAAGTCAACCTGCAGTATTTTGTAAAAACTGTTTTAAAAAAGCTGTTTAGTAATGACTGGTTAATGATAAATGAAAATCTTTGGTCAGTATAGCCAAGGTGAACATTAGAAGAGTTCCGCCTCAAAACCATAAAAACATGATGAGGTCTACACAAAAGCAGTTTTTATTCCTTGTTTATGATGAAGTTTATCACCTATTTTTTGCAAACCTCTGAAAACCACTCATCTTGGGCACTGAGGCATTTATACACGTTATCTATTTATTATTTGTGTGTTTCCATCTACATAAGCTCTGTTTCCATGGCAACAGAAGAAATAGGACTAGCTGCTGATGAGTAGAGGGGATATTTAGATTCAGGCAGCAGTGATGCATACAAACTTTAAATCCCTGATAAGACAGCGAGCAGAATACGAGCTTAAATCCAAAGCGCTGTGAGCTGACTGAATGTGTACCTGCTGATGGACAGCTGTCTGGACGCTATCATCTTCCTTCCCACCAGGAAGCAGTGACTTCAGCAGCTTGGGTACGGCCTTCACTGGAGGGAGATGAGACGCAGCAAAGCCTGAATGCACTGATGGAGAGGACGAGAGAAGAAGAGGAGGAGGTTGTGGGAGCAGAGATGGAGAAAATAAGGGCAGGAGGAAGAAGGAAAGCAAGAAAAGATTACGTTTTTGAGGCAGGGAGGAGGGAAATGGAGAGGTGTGCTGGCAAACATGAAAACGAGTGCCAAATTAAGATTCAGAGCCAAAGGACAGATATGGTTGTCCACCGGCTGAAGCAAAGACAGAGCTGATGACATCAAAGGCAGCAAATATAGAAAGATAATTCAAAGCCAGAGAAAGAACCCATTAGAAGATAAAGGTTTTTATCAGTCGTACCTGTCTCTGGGTTCAGGTGCTGGGATATGGAGCTGGGCAGTGTGCGTCTAGATGAAGGAGGCGCCACAGAAAGGTCCTGATGGCTCTCCCAGCCCTGCACAAACAGGGGGGAAACATACCCAGAGGATGACACGCATGTAATCTGTGACCTTCAGCAGCCTCTATGGGTGACCAGAGAGAACTGCAACGACACAGCTATTCCATTCGCTATTTCAACCAGTTATCCTTTATTTTAAGCTATCTATTTCAACCATTTATTCATTCCTTTTAGCTAAAACAGCGATGTATACTTTACGTTTAGCTATAAGAGCCATTCAGCCATTACTTTTAGCTAAACATTTAGACTTTACTGCTCGCTTGCTAACTGATTTTCACATTCTCTTAATCGCAGCATGCAATGTTCAGGTGTTACAGCTGACTCAATATGCGGACATATTTTTAAAATCAAATAAAAGTTTCTGGGATTTTTCCTTATTAATTAGTGGATTAATGGCTTCAACCTTTTCCACATTGTAAACCCTGGTAGCTGAAGGAAGTACCTCCTGGGGCACAGGTACCTCTGGGAGGCAATTACTGCTCTACAGTGTTTTCAATTGTCATGTTACAGGGTTTTTTATGTTTTTACTATGTTGAATATTAATAAAACAAAGCAAGGAGAAACTGTGAATATTCTGAGACAGTGAAGTCCTGCTGTGGAACCAGCAAAAACAGTTAATGAATCAGTGTATTAGTCTATCATAGAGACAATAGAAACAATATAAACAGAAGAGATTAGTAGACTTGATTAATGTGCCTCACCTTGAAGTCATTGAGCTTATGAGTGGAGGAGTAGAGCTCCAGACTGCTGGCTGACAGCTGGTTAGAGGGTTAGAGCCAGGGTGTTAGTGAGACAGGTTAACACCAGTGAGACAGGTAAAACAGCAGAGAAGAAGGGACTGTATGAAGAAACAAAACCTGAACCCCAGAACACAAACCAACCTAAAATAACTGATTCTATCTTGTGGTTAGCTGCAGTAAGAAGGTCGAAAATGTTACAGTTAAGAGAGAACAGTTGAATATGGGATAGTTGAAATTTTCTTTATTAACGCTCCCATGACCCCAGTGGGATGTCTCTGTGTTCACAGGATCCATGGTTTCAGCTAATATTACCACCTGATGAAGGTCAAACACCTGAAATATTAATGTGATGTGTGGGTCACTGAAAAAAAAACCTCTTACCCGGTTGATGTTTGGGGAGCTCAGGCAGCGTCTGGGAGATTTCCCTTTGACTGCCAGCTGTTCCCTCACAGCCACCTCCTACACACACACACACACACACACACACACACACACACACACACACACACACACACACACACACACAGACACACACACAGACACACACACACACACACACACACACACACACACACACACACACACACACACACACACACACACACACACACACAAATAAATGTGTTTTGTAAGCATTTCTAATTGTGTGATTTATGGGAACACTATCACTTAGTGTCTTTATTTGGATGCTTTGTATTATGTGGATTAATTAGCTCTATCTGTTTCTTTTTTGGCAGGGTAGAAAGGAAAATGTTCCAATTCTGGCTCCAGATGACATTTTCCTAAATTGCGTAAAGAGTGAAAAAGACAATGAGGATTTAATGTGCTCATGCTTCGGAGAAATATCAATCAAAGCAACACGGTTAAATGAGAGACTGGTCAGACATTTAGGGTATTCTGAGTGAACTTAATGAGGCTGAATACCGAGTGATTTAATGCGGTTTTAATGTTTGGAGATTCATATCAAATCTACAAAGAGGAGATTCACATCTCAGTTGTTTATGAAGAGTATTTCCTAACCTGTCTGAGTCTGTCCAAAGTGAGGATGTTCTCCACAGCCAGGACGCTGCGGAGGTATTTCTCTATAGCCGCCTCGCTGTCAGCTGATTGGTCGTCCTCAGTGCTGGCAGCCAGCCTGGCCAACATCTCCCTGTCCTCTGGACCGTGGATGTCCTGTGGGAGCAGGGGGACGGACTGTAAGGGGGCAGGGTGCTACTTCATGTGCTTAATGCCAGCTCTTGAGTCACCCTGCTGGGCTTTCATCTGTTTACATTATCTTTTGCAAGTTACCACTGCTGACATGATAGAATCTATGAGCTGTGTTGTAGTGGAAATGTAATTACAGCAAAACAAACAGTGCAGAACAGCACACTCAGAATTCTTCTCTGGTCAGTTATTTAGAAAACACAGACCACAGACCATTGCAAACCACCATTAAATATTCAACAATGTAGAAGGCCTACATACATAAAACATGTTAGCCTAGTGGAGTTTGACCACATGCATCCTATCTAACCATTTTGATGTCTTACACATGATACAAAGTTCCATGGATAATCACACTCTAATTCTGAAAGTTCAAAGGTCAATTTCCAGACATTGTAGTTTATTTCTGACATGACTGACTAAATTACGAACATGTTGTGTTTTTAACTTTAACCTGTGAGACTAATAGTTATGTTATGACTCAGCACACCGTGGTGCATTACTGTTGCATGGTTTTCATTAATATGGGCAACAATATGGAGTTCTATATAGAAGTAATATAAAGCATTAAAAAAATACATTTGTATATTATAGTCGCTAACCACCATTTTACACATTGATGACTTCCAGCTGTCAAAACAAGACTTTGTTCTTCTGCATAAAGAAGAATCTGCAGCATTATTTTCCACAGTCTACTAATTTGTTTACTAGTCAAGCAGACTGTAATGTAACAATAAACTGATGGATGTGTCAGTAGAGGTCTGCTCTATTCTACTCCTCTTTAGTTTTTATTAAACAAATATGCAGTTGCAGACGTATCTTTCTTTAACCCTCAGACCCCCGATGCTTTTTGTCATATCTCACAGGTGCTTTACTCTATCATTCCAGTTGTTTCATTACTTTGTCAATCAATGTGTTCCTAAAGACGTTATGCTTTTTAAAAATAGCAATGACCCCAGTCAAAAGCACCCAATTCCACCTATGCAGTGAACTACTTATTGAGTTCAGGTTTGCCACAGGCCCTAATTTAAAGAATTATATATTCATAGTCATTTTGAAAGAGACAGACACATATTTCCTCATGTGCTCCATGGACCACCTGAAATACCGGTCTTCCTAAGGTAAGATTCAAAGTCAGACATACAATACATAATTTCATGATAAAATGTTGTTTAGATTAATAACCGAAAGAAATAGAAAACAAAAAATAACCCTTTACTAAAATAGTTGTTTCTTACAGTAGTGTATTATTGGGGTCCACAGGAACCCGTCGGTAGTCATTGTATGTTAAATATGTCAGTAGGATGAGGGTGAATTTGTCCAGTGACAAAATGAAAACTGAGTTTTATTTTACTTTCTTTCTAACAAATACCTCTGTGGTCTGGTACTTACCCCCGGGATGTTAGAAACAATTTCAAAGGTGACTCCACAGCCGGGGATGGTGCTGCGCTGAGACATCCTCTTCAGCAGACTCTGAGCAAAACCCTGTCACACCAACACACACAACCACATGTTCTCAAATCTCTTCATCGGTGGCCATGTGCTTATGTAAGGGAGAGAGCAAACGTGTCATTGTGTCAGCTTGCTCCTGCCCATCATGCCTCGGGGGGAGTTGGCACCCACCTGTCTCCCGGTGACATTGACACAGATGCGTTTCCTGAGTAGCAGCTGCATGTGGGCCGGGTGGCTCAGCTGAACCACCGTGCTGACTGTCAGGTAAACCCTCTGGTCAGCCGATGTCACGCGACTCAGCTGGGGACACTCGTGGACCGTCGAGTCCCAGGAGGCCTCCACCTTCACCTGGACCACGTAGGAAAGCACGGAGAATGAACGGCTCCATCCTCCATAGAGGTGTTAAACACACACTCTGAATATCAATCTTACCTCTGGATCGTAGTGTTTAACAATATGAAGGTCAAATAAGTCGTCGTCATCCTCCCCACTGAGTAGTGCATCCAACCCCCCGGCCAATGGGGCTGAAAGATTGGACTGGAAATCATCAGCTAAAGTGGAAAAAAGAGAGAAGAGGGAGAAAAACAGAAAGAAAGCGCGTTCAGTAGTTACTCATTATTAATCGTGATTCTGCCAAATCACAAGCATAACTGACTGTCAGGAACGACGTACCACTGAGATCCAGGAACAGGACAGGGATGTGCGTTTCCATTCCAGAGACAGGAACCCTGTGGAGAAACAGCAGCGTACGTCAGCCCCCCTGACTGAACACCTGCTCCATGATACGGAGCGGCTGAGAGCTCCCTCCGCTCATCCTGACTAGACAAGCAATTAACACCCAACTGAGTGGATCTGAGGAGCAGAAAACAGTGGAGGTCTAGCTTCTCCCTAACCACCGAACTTGACTTTTACCTGAATTTGCTGTCAACTATTTAAGGTTGTGATCACTGGAATAGTAGTTTCAGTAGTAGTAGGTTCATTTGCACCATTATTGAAATTCTAACAACAGGTTATAAGGTAGCTCCAGTGTGACAAGGAAGCATTGTGTTCTTACAGCAAACCTTTGCTAGAATTAAATAACAAATAAAAATGGCTGTAAAGAGAGATTTTCACACCTCTCGACCGGCGCTCCTGGTATGCCACTGCCAGCCGATGGCACCAGAACGGCGTTGCGTTCCTCGGTGAGCGTCAGGCGACACTCCAGCAGCTGGGACTCCCTCTCAACGTCGTCCTCTGACTTATCTACATGCACATACACACACACACACACACACACACACACACACACACACACACACACACACACACAAAAAAGGTGAGCAAACACAACGAAGGAAAGACCTGCACTAAAATACAGATAACTATTATTATTCATTTTCTTGATTATTCTTTATCTGATATTGGATACACCACATCCTGCCATATCCTCATCAGAGAAATATTCCTATTAATGTTGTCACATTGATTTCAACCATATTCCTTCCCCAGCCCTTCTCCATACTGGATACAGTATGCTGTAACTACCAACCTGCAGCTATGACCCTTCCAAACCATGACAACCTCACAACCATCAGGGGCTCAGGACTTATGATCACTGTCAGCTAAACTGTAATCAGTTAGTAATTACTTCCATGCTTTCCATTCATCCACGGGGCTGTGCTGTTGGAAATGCTGAAAAAGAATCTAAATTTGCTTCATTGTCTCTTTAAATTAATGGCGACATCGCTGCCACTTGGTTATGACAATTGAAAGAAGAAAAGCAGCATTTGTGCTGTAAAATCATACACTAGGGAACGCATTTTAATAAACACAATATGAGAAAAGAAGCATGAAGTACCAGCAGTGAGAGGAAATGACATGCTGCCATAAAAAAAGTGCACGCTGACAAGAAAATGGAAGACTGGAAATATTGCTGCTATCACTCATTTTTTTCTTCCACATCAGAGTTGTGTTGAGAAATGCCTTCTGACTGCACCTGGTTTGCTAACTATCTTCTGTAGCTGCTGGTCCAGATACTCCTGCCTCTGAGTCAGAATGTCCAGCCACTGTTCCCTCATCCTCTCCAGGTCCACCTCCTACACACACACACACACACACACACACACACACACACACACACACACACACACACACACACACAGAGGTAGAGATACACATACACATCAGTTGTACAGAAAAACGTACTGTTTACATAAGATAGGACACATTTAGCTATGTATGTGCCATTTTTCTCTGTTATTGGGGAAATATGATGCATCTTTATCATTTATCATCTACTTACTTGGTAGCTGTCCATGTCTTCATCCTCAGCCTGAAATTTAAATTGACAGAGAAACAGTTAAAGTCAAACATTAAACCAAACATCAAGGCCATTTAATTTCCATAAAATTCCAACAAATTTGTATTTTATTGATTGGATTTCCTCCTCACCCATTGTGATTCGCTGCCTTTGGAGGGACGCGTCTGTCGGACCTTGACGTCTCCGATGGACACGGAGAGGATGGAGGTGGTGATGAGGGGCATGGTGCCTGAGTCCGGTACTGAACGCACCTCCACCTGGACCCGACGGGACTGACCCTGGAGGGACACATTTACACGAGAGGATAGTTTTGGAAAGAGAGGATAGTCAATTCTTTAAATGTACTCCCACATACTCATGAAGCCAGACATAATAACAGTATGTTCATCAGCTAACAGTGACACCTTAATAAACTGCTAATATTCTGGTCTCAGGTGATTCATTTTCTGCAAACAAACTCAGACCCGTGATACCTGTCGGAGCTGGAAGATTCCTCCTGTGCGTACGTCTTTAGCAGGAAGGACCTCTACAGCTGTGAACTCTCCTGCCTCGTTCAGCTCCATCAGCTGCACCCACAACTCCAGCCGGCGGGTCACCTCGCTCCACCTGCAGGTGCAGCACGCATCGGATCAGAGCTTTACATTAAAGTAACACACACCTTTATATGTTAGACACATAATATGTTTTAGAAATAGGCCTATTGGTCAGTTATATCATTAGAGGATGAAACATTTTAGCATGACTGATAATTTGTGACAGAAACACATTGAGGATACAACATTATCAGTCATCGGTTTCATTATTACCTTATAGCTATTGTCCCATTATGACGGATAGAAAAAAAAGTCTAGTGAAAAAATACATTTGAAATGAGCAGAATTGAAATTGCAGCTCAATAAACGTTAAAATAACAAACTGACAAAAGAATAAATTAGTACATATTATACGCAGTTCTTCCAATCCCTCATTTTCTCACTTTTTAGAAAACTGCATGCTTGTGTGTGTTTGTGTCACTGCACCTTTCTCTGAGGGACCGGGTCTTGGCTTGAATCACTCCCAGGTCCCACAGTGCCAGGTTCCTGCGGTGGTTGGCCTGCTTGTGGCCGTACACTTCAATGGCCACCGCTCCCTCGGCCAAAAATTCCACAAACTCCTCCGACACTGTCACCGACAACTCCTGATAAGTTATTAAAATGAGACAGAAATATTGTTGAATAAACAAGAAAACAAACAAATCAGATTTGTTTTTGTTTTTAAATTGGTGAAATATGAGTGTGGAGAACACTATGGTAAAGGTTGTGAGCTGATTTGATGTGTGTGTGTGTGTGTGTGTGTGTGTGTGTGTTTGTAGGTCATGGAAAATTCCACCGGGGGTGTTACCTTGGCGCTGTCGAAGACCACAGTGCACTGAGGGTCTCTGGAGGCGGAGGACGAGCTGGATGGCACCACCTCTGGAGCGATGAACACCGGCTCCTCTTGCCCCCAGAAGTGGTACTGACAGAAGACGAAGTTGGACAGGTGGCGAGGAAGACCATTGGCCTGGAGGATTTTCACCTGAGAGTGAGAGGATATGAGGAGATGATGTTGAACAAACACAGTGATTTGTCACTTGAGAGAGAGTGTTGTTTTTTAGTTCTGAACAAGGTTGCTTTAGAAACGTGTTGGTCTGTTAAACTTGATTTTAGTGTGGCTCTCTACTAAAGTCAAAAAATGATTTCTACACGCAGGGAAAATGCCTTAGGTCAACATGTAGGAATTTGTAGCAAAGACCTCCTGACACTGTTTTTATTTCATTTCATCACAAGACAAACAGAAGCAAGAGACAACCGGATACAAAGCCAACCCAGAGTTAATTAAACTTGTGACATTTCACAGTACAGTGAGCTGGAGAAACTCACAACAGAGTAAAGACACAACAATGTGACTGCCTGCCAGATCCATTATTAATCTGGAACTATTTTCCCACTGGCAACACTGAAGTCACACTCACTTATACTGAGCAGCTGCTGCATGTAGGATCCTGGTTTATATGATTCAGATTATCAGGTGGGGTTTCCCTGAATATCTTCATGGATTTGGCTCATTTCTAACTCTTGTGATGAACAGATGAATCAGGCTTGTTTCTCACCACACAGTCCAGCTTGCGCTCCTGTTGGTCTCCATCTGTGATGTTCTGCTGAGCGTCAAACAGTCCTGGACCTTCCTCCTCAGAGCCCTCTGTACCCCGCCACAGCTCCACATGCAGCCGACCTACCACCTGAGACAGACACACACACACACACACACACACACACACACACACACACACTGTTAGTCACACACGAAGCTAGCACATATTACTTTATTTAGTCTTTTCTCAGGTTTAATTTTGTAACCAAGAAATTAAGTTTCTTGGTAACAAAATAAATTTAGTTACCAAATTGAGTGTATCTTTGTCACTTATAATCAATGAATCCATAAAGATACACTGATGTCATTGTCATACTGTTGGCAAGGGTGTAATGGTAAACTGTAGTTTACTCACCTTGTTTCCCCTCATTTGATTGATACAACTGAGTAAACCCTCAACCTCATATCTGGTGGATAGACTGTGTTTAGCTGGCCCCTGACTGTAGGCCTCATAATCAAAGTAATGAAAAATTACTTGAATGAATACATGAATATAATTTTAGCATCAAGTAAAAATATCTACTCAGCATTTGCTGGATACAGCTTTCCAAAGTGTAAATATTTTTTAACTAATGTTTCGAACATAGCATTTATTCTCCACTATATTCATGAGCTCTCTAACTGTGTCTGTGTGTTACTGGGCAGATAGTGTATAGTGGGGTTTTTAAAACTTTTTCATTGAAAACACCTGCTGATGAGAGCAGTGAGACTGAACCAAAACAGAAAAGTTTGGGGGCTGTCCATAGACCTTTTTCACAGCAGCCATGAAATAACTGATATAATCACCCAGCAGGCTCCTACCTCTCCCTTCTGGTTGATGATGGGCACTGCATATTGCAGCTTGACGTCGTAGAACAGGCAGGCCAGGAAAACGTTGGCCACACCGATCAGACTGTGGTTCTCCTGTTCATCGAAGAACGGGTCGGCACGCTTGAAATAGGACCGCATCACCTGGGTTAGACAGACACAGAATGAATGAATGATGATGAATACATCACTTGTTTGACTTCAGGGTCTTCCTGAACGTCTGCTCTAAATCTCTAAATATTTCTCTTAAGCAAACTGAGTTAACCACATTAGCCCATGTTTTATCTGCATATTCTTCAGATCACTCACAGGGTTGTCTTCATCGAAGTCCTTCCACTCCTGGTAGAGCTCCCTCATGTCCACCAACCTGTTCTCCATCTTTTCCAGGGCCCAGATCTGCTTCCCTTTACCTTTACGACGAACCTGGATGGCAGGCTCGCTCAATACTGCATCACGCTGAGAAGAGGGGGAGAGAGAAAAGTGCTTCTAATACATGTCGGCTTGAAAACCTAAAGAGAATGCAAACAGTACATTATGTGTACTATATCACTTATATTACTGCCATCCATTTTCCAAACCACACTGTGGGAGGTTTCTCAGTAACTGAACATGTTTTTCCTTCCTTCTAGGCAGAAATAGGTTTACATTAATTTCCCTTTGCCAGAGGTGCAGCAGTGGCTGCGAGAAGGCAATTAAGCCACTTTAAAACCTTCAGCGCCTGATTGCAGCATTTGCATCAAAAGTCAGAGCCCCTCTCTCAGTCAAAACTTGGTTAAATCTGAATACCCTGACATGACATATATTTAATAGTGTGATTTCCTTCCTATCCTCTTCCTTCTTCATGCATTTCCTCTAATGTGCATAAACATCCATACATCCACTCAAAAAGAAAAAGAAAATTTTTTTTTTTATAACTACAGAACTTCCTTGAGAATCATTACATTTTTAAGTTTCTTCAGTATCCAGTTATAGTCTGTACATCCATGGGTACCCAGCAAACAGGAACTGCTTATAGCTAATTTGGCATACATTTAATAGTGCCAAACTTTGAAAACTTCTGCACTACTGTATGAAAATCAATTTGCACAGACTTTAAATGACTTCCTGCAAGCACCTGAACTTGCATGTATAATCTGTCAATCAGAGAGAGTGTCTGGTGAGTTTAGGTTTCTGCAATGCCCTTTTTAAAAACATTTTCTCTCTCTTAGACACACACACACACACACACACACACACACACACACACACACACACACACACACACACACAAAGCCTACCTTCCTGTTGGCATCCAGGTTGGCAGCAGGTATCTGCAGAGTGACTAGGTACTCTGTCCTCTTGTTAAGCTCCTCGGCTATAAAGCCAGCCTCCTGTGCCAGCAGGTTGGCCCGAACGATCTGCTCCTTCAGACGCCGCAGGCTGCGAGTCATCATTGCTTCTCTGAACCGCACAAACACACACACGCAAGTTTTACAAAATCTTTAGACTTCACTGCCAACAAGGATTAGTAAAGTTTAACATCAGCTCATTGTATCTCACCTGTCCTCGCTCCAGCGCCGCATGCGTTTGTGGGAGATGGGTGCCATTACAGCAGCTGCAGCGCCGGGCAGCAGGCCCGTAGGGTCCAGGAGGTGGGAGGGTTTCTCAGGAGTAAGTCGCCGACGGAGCTGCTGCAGCTCCTGTTCGTACATCTGCCTCTGTCGCTCCAGGGCGCAGCGCTTCTCCTCCTCGTGCTGCCTCTCCAGGGTCTGTAACACTGACTGCAAGGGGTCTGAGGTGGAGGAGGAGCCGCCAGAGGGTGGATGGATGGAAGAGAGAAGAGGAGGAAAGAGAGGAGGTTTATATTTCAGTATTCTTTCTTATAAAATGAAAATTTCATCCATAAGAACGGTTCATCCTAAAAGCAAAATTCTGTCATTGTTTAGTCTCCCCCAAATAAGATGGGACTGATTCACAGGACTGCACTCACTGTTGGTCCAAAAGTCCAATATTTACCTCATCATCTCTACTTTGGCAAGCAGAGTGTTCTGTCTGAGCACTGCAGGCTTTACACAACCAGAACAGGTTGGGAAATATAGGAGATTATGGGGTAAATATTGAACTAGTGGACCCACATTGGAATCATTTGGGGTCTAAATATTTGGATTATACTGCACAAGCTGCTCGGAGTAACTTGATGGACACCCTGTGCTTTGATAAAGCTGTATAAAAACTGGCCTGGTTACCTTAAAGGACAAAGCTATTCTCTGTTATCCTTAAACGAAAAAAGGACCAAACCAAACAATGAATCCATCTTGTTAACAACTACAGCCTGTGTATCCAAAGCCTGATACAACTTATTCCTGTGTGCCAGAGAGCTCCATTGTTGTCACTGTTGCTCTGGTTGACATGTTCCTTCATTATAATGAACACACATACTGTAGTATGTTGTGAATCATTGCAGCATACACCGTCCATCATCAAGTCATACTCTTGCTTAAAAATGATTATTTGGACATTGTTAGTTTGGGACTTTTCCTGGAATTAGTTCCCAGTAGTAATCCCTAAATCATTTGTGAAAACGCTGACAGAACTATTTGAGTTCCTTGGCTGTCCATGAGCGCTCAATGACAGATCCCACAGACAGATATGATGTAGAGGGGTTAAAGAGGTCAGAATAACACCAGTTCCACTCCCATGTCAAGTATTTTTAGACCATGTAAATAGGGCTGCGCAATATGGTAAACAAATAACATTGCCATTATTTTGAGAGACATTTTGTCTGCAGTATGATTCACGATTAGTGAGAATGATCATTTATGCATTACATTTTTCAACTGCACTGAAGAAACAAAAAAATTCTGATTTGTTAGGGTCTGTACCAAACAAATATGTTTTCCTACCAGTGGAGAACAAGGGGGTCTCAGCAGCACTACAATACTTCATTATAATCCTATTGTACGCGCATTTTGCACATGGCCGTATTGCAGTTTCTGTAATATTTAGATCAACTGTGCAGCCCTACATGCAAACAATCAAAAAAAACCATTGACAATATTTAGCATTTATTGTATGTCGCAGTCTGGACAGTTAACAGTTTAAAATGTGACATCAGGGCTACTTTACAGGTGCCTGGATGGACAATCCAACCAAAATAGATGGAAATTGTAATTTGAGGTACAAAGGAATGTAAAATAAAAGCACAGTTTCTTAACTTTCAAGATCCCTTTTCTCAGAATTTCAGCTCTTATGACACAACAAGTAAGCAGTTAACTGTGTAAAGAAGCTGATTAATGCCTGTCATTATTCACCACAACTGTCAACCTAAAAACACATTCTGAGGAAGCTCCTCGGCTACAACACATCAGGATGTTTTGTTCTGTTATATTAAATAAACATGGGTTCATCTTATTTCTTGATGGTGTGCACCTTCATCATAGTTTGACATTTCAGTCTGACTCACCATTGTTGCCCATGCCTTTCATCATGACTTCGGCCTGGGCAAACTCATAGCCGAAGCTCAGCTCGCTCGACACGTCACTGGACGCATCCAAGTCCACCTCCAGCCGGTCGGTGCTCAAACACGTCTTCATCGCAGCGCCGCCCTCCTCATCCTCACCTCCTGCGTGGACCATATGCCTCGGCAGGCTGATCCTGTGTGTGTGCATGAGTAGGTGGTGGTGAAAGAAACAGGAAGTGTGATGTGGCGAAAAGAAGAGGAAGAGACACAATGAAGAGCTTGTGACCACATGTAAATAAACGCAGCAGAAACATGTTAGTGTTAGAAATCAAACAGCACACAGAGGCAGATTCAAAGTCAACGCTCTGTGGGTGAAACCGACCTGAAGAAGTGGTTGTTTCCCCACAGGATTCGGTCACCGTGGTGAATCTGGACTGGACTGGTGACTGCAGCACCGTTCACACATGTCCTACAGGTGATAAAAAAAGATTCATTTGAGAAGAGAAGAGATGATACTGTAAACACGTCCTTGGGGCCTGTGCCAGTGTCAATGCAAGCTTCGGTTTAATTTCTATTCAAATTATGTTCAATATACTGTATATCTTTATAGATTTTTTAAACTGCCATTTTGTTTGTATTGGTCAGCGCACAGTAGACAGCAACAGGTTGGCGCACGTTGCTGTAACTGGATACCTTTTTGTTCCTGACCGAGTTGTATCAGTAGCACTGAATATCAAAAACTAGTGTAAGCTAGCGTTTAAGTTCAGATTTGTCTTCATTTTTCAATGTATTCTTTAATTAGATACTTCCTGTTTTGGCTCTGTTTTACTTAAAGTGGCAGTTTTGGGCCACTTGGGGGCAGCAGAACAAGCTGTGACCACTACACTGACATATACTATACACCAATCAGCCATAACATTATGACCACCTTGGCACCCTGGTGGTCAGAATGTTATGCAGCCCCATACAAACAAACTATGATGCACTGTGTGTTCTGACACCTTTCTATCAGAACCAGCATTTAACATTAGCTCACAGTCATTGCAACCCTTTTCACAAAAATCTAACTAAAATTACAGGTTTATTTTGACCAAACCAGTGTTTGTGATTGTTGGAGAGACTAATAAAAGCGGTTTTGGTGAATTTTATTTTTTCTCTGTCCCACTGTTTTGGTCTGAGATGCTGGTGCTCTAGTGTGACGTCCAGTGGCAAGTGAATTTAAACTCCTTAAAGACTCCTCTTACGTTTTTAAGATTACCCAGTGCCGCCCTTTAAGAGCCTTGCCGTTGCTAACAAAGTACTTTTTATCATCTAGTGTTGGGTGCTCTGAGCAGTTCAAAGTGCTGATGGAAAATGATGAGAGAGTAAAACAGTGGTGCACAGAGAGGTTACAGTGTTACAGTGGTCTATCAAACACGGCTTGCTGTATTGTTGATTCAGGTTGAGAACCTACCGGGCGTTGCGGTGAGGGCTGAGCATCACGCCGTTGCTCTCGGTAATGTCGATGACGCAGTGCTCAGCTTGGATGGCCATTCCGCACAGCTGGATGTCCTGTGAGTTTGCTGAGCCCACACGCGTGTGCTCCTGGGCACGGCACACAGACAGGGGAGGTGGTCACAAAATGCACCGGTGCAGAACATGTGTACATGGTAAACAGCACCGGGCTGTATGTGTGTGTGTGTGTGTGTCGGGTACCTTCAGGTAGTAGACCAGCAGCTCGTTGAGGGCAGGGTCAGCGTTAAGGTTGACCAGGAAACACTTGTCATCCACCACTCGGATTCCAGAGGACTGCAGGGAAATGCCCAGATTCTCCAGCTGCCTCTGACGCTCCTACAGGCAAACAGATTGCACATTTAATGCATTCATTGATTAATTGATTATTCCAACCTTTAGCTGCTTGATGAAGGAAATGGTAAAGAGAAGGAGTGCAGCTAAGAACACTCCGAACTGAATAGAACTCAGTGAATGAGTTTAACTTGAATTAAGTCACACTGAATGAACAGAAACAAAATCAATTGACAATGACTCACATTTTAATTTCACCTCCTCAGTTTGGTTAAATGTGTCTATTAAGTCTACTTGTTTCAGTGCAAAAAATAGACAAAAAAGTTAATGAAGTTCTGTTAAGTATAACAATGGATGTGGAGAGTGTATTGTGTGTGTGTGTGTGTGTGTGTGTGTGTGTGTTACCTGTGCAATAGCCTCAGTCTTCCTGAGTTTATCCTCCCAGGTGACTGTCATTTCTTGGATCAGTTTCTCAGACTCCTCCAGCCGCTCCTTCAGCTCGGGGGCCTTCATAGACTGAGAGAGAGACAGAAGCTGCGTTACTCTCCACATATCACTGGGTTATTTAGGAAAAACATCTACAGGTTAAACCCGGCTGCAGTAATCCGAACCTCGGCCTCTGTGAGCTGCTCTCTCAGCTTCTCCACTTCCTCACGGAGTTCTCTGATGATCCTGGCGTTGGGGTCTTCGTTGACGACGGCGTGGTTGACGATGCTCTTGGCCCTGTCGGCGTAACGCAGGGTGGACAGTGTCTCGTCATAGTTGTCTGCAGCAGGGCTGATGGTGGCGACCATGGCCGTGCGGCTGTTCCCTCCCAGGCTGTCCTGCAGGTAGTAACACAGCTTTTATCTTAGAGAAGATCCCAAAACCTCTTGAGTGGGGAAAAATCTGAACACAGGGTTTCTGCAGGTTTCAACAGGTAAAATGTAATCACTTTTAAAAACCATTATCTATGTTTCATTATGTAGTTCATTAACATTAACTTCATTAACCTGATACATTTTTAAATTCAGAATGGATTTTAGACTATTCAAGACCCTGCGGAGACCCTGCAGTCGACACTGTGCAAAACAAAGCAAATCCACTACTTTGGTGTAGAGAAGGAACTACAAAATGTGTGAAGAGTGTATGATTTAGGATCAGGCTTCCTGCAAGTTGCAGAAAGCTACATTTAACACTATTACAATGCTACCATGGAACCAAATTAAAGACTCATTTAAAAACCCATAATTAAAAACTCAAAGCTGGCAAAAGGAGCTTTTTTCCAACAGAGCAGAGCAAATGCAAATAATCAGCAGAGCCTCGAAACTAAATAGGCAGAATTTAAAAAAAAGCACACCAGAAAATTAATTACTTTCTTTTATGTTTCTTTATATTTAAATTTAAATAAAGTGGGAGTGGGTGTGCAGTGCAAAAAAAGAACTGGAGAGGCACAGAAATCAGTGTCCTGATTGTCTGTGGTGGAATCTGTATGAACAAGGTTTGTTATTTCCATCTGGGTACCTTGAGCAGCCAGGTCAGCACAGAGTCTCTGTAGGGAACAAACTTGTTCTTGTTCTTCCCTGCTCCCTGGTCAGCCAAGGCTGAAATAACTAAACCCAGAGTGCTGAGAGACCTGGAGGGAGAGATGAAGAGAAGACCACAAATCATCAAAGCAATCTCGGCCTGAAAAAGGCTGATAAGATTTCAGTCAAGCAAACAGAGCTGCAGTGTAAATATGCGAAATGCTCTTTCTTTTGCAACGGTAGTATGCAAGGGAAATAGCATCCCGTCTAGCAAAAAATATGAGCAAAAAAAAGACCAGAACCAATGACCGTAGCAAGATCATGGACTCAAGATCAAGAATCAAAATCAAAAGTGAGTGTAGACGGAAAACAAACCAAATCCCATCCCTTTGCTTGGTCACGTCATTTAGTTCTCAGAAGTAAACTCCGGACTGCTGAGGGTCTTTCATGTCATGCCACATACAATATATTTATTTGATTTGATTTTAACACACTTATTGATGTTGCTCCCTTCTTTCAGCCGTTCCCCTGCTGCTCCAGTCTTGGCTGCCCGCTCGCTGCCGGCCAGATCCACAAGGCTCAGCTTGCTCACTTTCTCTCCACTCGTCTGGAGAGCAGTACACAGGGAAATATACATGACGGCACGGAAACGTTACTGAAGGTCAGATGCAGTTGTGGAGATTTATAGATGACCTTAAGAGATTAATTGGGCATTTCTGGAGAAGTGCTGACTAAACGATAAAACATGACATAATACTGCATTTCAGGTCAATTATAAAAAGAAGAAGACACAAGATCTTTTCCAGTTCAACAGAAAAGCCATACAGAAAGCAAAACAAAAACAGTGCTGAAATGATCCCAGTTACTGCCTTTATCATCTATACAGGTATCTTTAAGGATTATTGTGGAAAAGTAAAAGGATTGTTGTGATCCTGTGAAGCGTCTATAGTTGATAATGGGTGTGTGTGTGTTCTTACCCCGGACTGTAGGTCCATGAGTGTGTGTGTGAGGATGATGTTGAACACGGCGTGGGACCTGCTGCTCTCTTCATTCATATTTGTTGCTGCCACCGTACGAGATTTATTTCCCTCTGACATCAGAGACTCTATGTCCTGTCAGAGACGCCACAAACAAACACACGTCTCGTCTCTACATTATGAAATAACTTGTTTCCCTTGGCAACACAACGTGATGGAAGCAAAAGAAAAACAGATGGGAAATTAGAAGTAGCTCATGGGGGTACCTTGTAGCTGGCCACAGCCAGGCGAGACAGGCCATCAACATAAGGCCCAAAAACGTTGTGCTCTCTCACTCTCAGCGCTTGGCGATTTCTACGGACAGAAGGAGGTGGTTATTAATTTTATATCCTTCAGTTCTATTCTGCCCAACCCAAGTGCAAACATGAGAAAATAAACTGGACAGCTGTGTTCCACCCTTCCTGAATTAACAAATAAAACTTGAAATCGCCTTGCCGACCAGTCAAGTTGCAGTTTACGTCAGTGTCTGTCCAGACTCTTATAATATTCACTGTATTTTTTGGCAAAATCACTATATTGACATGTATGATTCCAGTGAATAATTCCCAGTGAGAAACATACCTTTTCCCCTTATAGACTATTTTTACAGACTGATAGAGAGCTTCTTCACATAGTGCACATAAAAACAGTCTTAATATCAAGACTCAGAACAATTTAATGTTATTTAAGGTTCACTGCACTGTACCAGACTGAAATATGAAGACTCACATGGCTGCAAAAGGAAAGAAAGACTTAAGCGCAGGTCGTCAGACCCATGACATTTTGCATTATATTCTAACATTTCTGTTTGAAAAGTTTCTACCAAAGACAGTAGTTTTAATTGGTTTCCAGTTATCGATTCTATTCAAAAACTAGGTTTGCAGTAAAGTCTACAGCAGTGATTTCCAACTCTTTTCTAAACTGACCATCCCTGAAATATTTTATGGATATTTTATATTATACTTAATGCACAACAACAACAAACAGCACAGAACAACTGATAAACTGTACAATGAACCAAAATAGTAAACACAATAACTGCAGGACGTTTGTGTAAATTTAGATTTGGATGGAAGTTTGGATGTTTTGTCAGATGATTTCCTGTGAATACAGAGATAAGTAACTTTTTAAGGGAACTTCTTGTACAATTCTCTGTATTATGTATCAGTATGTAACAGTCATACATACTTGAATTTAGTGTTTTCTTCTCATTGTTCTATTAGCTCTTTGGTTGTTTTAACTGCATATTTTTCTAATGCAGGATGAAGAGTGAAGGCTCTGTGAATATAGCTTGTGTTCTGATCTTAAATCACAATATCAACTTTAACTTCTTCTTCACAGAAATTAACAAAATGCTGAGATTTGGGTCTTCTAAAGTTTTCTTGCACCCCTTAAAATCAAGAAGGCCTCGCGACCCCTAGGTTGGGATCCACTATTCAACGGCATAGAATACCAAATATAAGTATTTTCTTAAAGAAAACAGGATTGTGCATATGCACTGTTTTAAAATGAACAGTTCCTCACCCTTTGGGGTCGAGCAGGTCTCGGACCTTCTCGTTGTAAATCTCCATGAAGGAGACCTCCACGGTGAAGCTCTCTCCCTCCCGGGCCTCCTGCACGGTCCTGCTGAACAGGGAGCTGCAGAGCCGAGGGATCAGACCAGGCTGCTCCGCTGAGCCCATCATGGTGTACGACTTCCCAGAGCCTGGACACGGTTATAGTTTACAGAATCCATATATAAAGCGGAAAACCAACCAAGCAATGTTAAAGAAACAGGAAGGAAGTACGAAATAGTATCAGATTGAGTGTAACTGGCTCCATAAGTCGCTCACATAGGCCCCATTTAAAACACCAAATGCAAAGACTAAAACATATATTAAAAATTGTCTGTCATAACAGGTTTCAGTGATTTGGAGTGGTGGAAGTGAGAGAGAAAAAGACTAAATCAGGCAGTAAATTAATACACATCTGGAGAGCGCTGCCAATGATTCTGCTATACGCATTGACTATAAATACAAAGACGTACCCCAACACCTCCTAAGCTTTCATGTAAATTCAATAAATTAACACTTTGGATTAAGCTGGAAAAATAAAGTGTCTGAGAGGCAGAGATTCAGATGAGTTAGCAGAGACACCCTCATTAAAAAAGCTAATTAAACTGCTTATTGAGACACATTTTCAGTCTGGAAATGTGATGAGATTCACATTATGGAACTCAAAGTGAACAGCAGCCTGGTTTGTTCGGTCCAAACTGTAGTAAGAAAAACTATCCCACAACACACAAGTTGAGCGAGTACTCGGTTGAAAAGAGCATCCGGTACAGATTCTGTACTTGCAGTATGCAGTGTAAGTGCAAGTATTATCAGAGTAAAATGTGTCAATAGTTTTCTCATACAAATATCTTCTTTTTTTTAACTTCAACCCATATCCATTTCAGGCTTAAATGAACAACTTCTGCAACTCACACAACTCAATGGATATATAGATACAGATGTTGTCAAAGGTAGACTGATAGATACTTTGCTCTACTGCTTAGAGAGCCAAGATTAACAATGGCAAACAGCAGTCTGCAGTGTGTTCTCGCTCATTAACTGAACAGTCTTTTAGCAAGACACTCCAAATGTGCTCCCAATGTGTCTGTGTGTATGTGGGGAGAACAAATGTAGGTCATTTTGGAAAATAAAGATCTGTCAAATAAGATGATGTGATATAATGTAATATAATATGTAATAGTCACTGACAGCAAACCATCATTGTTGTGGTTCCCCAATCCAGGCTGTAGACCTGAGGAAATGATGCTAGCTATTTCTGTTCCATCTTTTAAATCCCTCCTAAAAACGTGCTTTTATAGTCAGGCTTTAATGTGAATTTACATCAAGCAAAACCTTGTCCTGTGAACTAACTAGTCAGTCTTGGATTTTGTTTGCAAGATTAGATTCACTTATTCACACATATTCTGACAGCAGGACCCTAAACTGCAATATGCATTCATTGTAAATACCCATTCTAAAGTTATAAGGGTTATAAGGAGTAGGTGTAGTCGAACTGTTTTGACTTTTAATCTTGCTAGAAAAGGCCTGGCTTTATCTAGAAATGGCTTACACCTTGATAAGGTCAACACACCTTGGTGACCTTTTCAGTGCTTCTGCATCTAACAAAGCAATGAATATCCTATTAGGCTGTAAAAGCTTGAGAATTAATGAGATGTGTGAGATGTGAGAAAGGTCTTCACAGCGTTTTGACTTGTCATAGCAGGAAAAGCACAGGTGTTAATTAATAATGTCATCGATAGCTCGATCCTATTTAAATGTTGCAGGTTGAAATGCCAATGAGCACAATAATAAGACCATGGAACTGGCCCCTGAATGGAATGCAGCCCGTACTTATATTATTTGTTAATGTTCACTGTGAGAGAGGTCTGTTAGACGGTCAGCAGCCGTCACAGAGGCAAATGTCAGCTTACAACAAAGTTATACTATACACTCAGTTGGTACACTACCCTGATTTATATGATGGACAAAATATTAGAAATACAGCTCAGTATAGTGTAGTGTAATTCATCATACACTCTCAAATCATTTACAGAGAGAACCTTTATTTAGGACAGTCTGACATTAGAGACAGGCCTATATTTCTAATACCCCCGTTCCCTACTTAAGGCAAATTCAAACCTTCATCTACGTTTAACTTTTGTCTTGATAAATTAAGTACAATTTCCTCAAAACTAATTCCATCAGTACAGAAAGAGTCATGTCAGGTGTTCCTCTTTGCATTTTTCCATGAATGATGAAGAAAACTCAGCACTTCCTCAGAATGTTCCCATTGCAGCCTCCCTTTTAAAAGGTAGGGTGGTGGAAAAAACATCGGAAAAGTGTTTTGTTGAGGGGAGTTTAACATCGATCAAGAGCACGGCAAAGAAGAAAAGACTGGAATTAATTATGTATGATGAAAACATTAGTACTGTTAAAAATAGAAGCTCGGGGCAGCAGAGTGGTGAATATAGCGTGACTCTGTTGATGAAAAGAACTGCAGGTGTGATTGCACCTTCACTGAACTTAATATTCTGTGAGTATAACAACACTGCAGTGTTACTATTATACTGTACTTGTAGAAATATTACCAAGGGGCCGTAACTCTAATGTTTGCATCTCACCTGTCTGTCCATAAGCAAAGATGCAGGCGTTGTAGCCCATGAAGGCGTTGTCCAGCAGACTCTCCCCAAGGCACTGGAACACTACATCCTGACCTGCACCGACACCAGAAAACACACTTTTATGTCTCAAAGTACGGACAACTTTCAAGATAACTTTAAAAAGACAGATCAGGAATACAGAAACAACTCTTTCTTTATATATAGACATGACTTACTGGTCTCTGTTTTTCTATGCAAGACAAGACTCACAGCCCAGAATAGACACGGTGGGCGTTTTGTTCAGATTCAATACATCCGACACAGGCTGCTGAACTTTTTATACCCCTCACATTGCTAAGAAACCCCCTGGCAATGGTTTTGTTTTACCCCCTTACAATGTATAGGGACACAGAACCGATCTGGAGGTAAACAATGTGTAACTGTTCATCCCCCCCCCAGCACTCCCTTTCTCCCACTCCATAAATAGTTCTGAATATCAGGAAACATTCTGTCGGGAGATAAGTTTAAGAAATGAGTCGCTCGAGCTAAAAACAGAACGCACCAAATCAAGCAGAGTACAAAACACAGTGAGGCTGTGGCAATGGGCTGACCTGCAAACTTGTCTTTTTGAGATTCATCCATTGACCAGAAGCAGTAGTCATAGGCGAAAACCTGACGAGAACACACAAGGCAGTGGACTTAAATGTAAAAGAACTAATGCGTCACCAAATCACCACGTTTACAATGAAAAGATTATAGTTAGTGAATTAATTTGTGCAACTTTAATCGGAAAAATAATTCAATTCAGAGTTTAATTCAGTACTCACCTTTGGCTGACTCCTGCGGGCAACAGATGGAAGAAGAAATAAAAATATCAGTTAACAATTGTTGTTAAAAACCGACATGAACATGTCAACCAACCTAAAAACTATTTTAACTCATACTGTCTGTCTAACACAGGCCTGTGGATTTACACAGCAGAGGAAACATAGCAAGGACCTTGGCAAGAACATGTGAAAATATTTTGACACTAGCAATATTCATTCTTCTGACAGTTTGGTCCAAGTACAACACACTTTTTAAAATTCAGCTCCAAGCAAAGGAACCTTTGCAGGGAAAGCAAGGCGAAGGAGTTCAGCCAACTTTCACTTTCACACAGTTACACACAATCACACCTGGAGGCTGGAGGCCCAGGTAGTGGTTGGTAAAGTAATGTAAGCGTCACTTCTTTTTAATTTTTCCCACCAACATTTTCCCAGCCAGTCTGGGGAGTCTTGGACCATCAACCCTTTGGCCACTAGACTGCTTCTCTAACCTGCAGGCTAGTGGTTCCCAACCCTGGGGTCACAAACTAATTTTAGTTGGTTGTTAGATGGCTCTGGGATAAGGAGGAAAAAAACACATTTCTATAATAAAAATATATTACAACAACAAAAATGTCAACTTTGCAGATTAATATTAATCAGTTGTCTGCCTCTAGGCATCCTCTTATAAAGAATTAAATGAAGCATACTGAGAGTAGAAAAACTGGTTGAACTGTTTACCAGTTACTGGGCCCTCCGCCAGATGCAGTGACAGATTAAGATGAAGTGACATTTCTTGTTGGGAAGGCAAAGAGCTCAGTCAAATGTAAGGATGTCCTCGTCATGAGTCAAAGTCCATTTACTTAGATTTATATTTATTTATAATCTATTTTTGCTTAATTTTTCCTGCATAAAACACTTGCCACAATAATGTTCCGGCCTGCTCAGACACTGTATGTTTCTCTGGATGAATACTGAACCAAATCAATAACATGTCAATGCTGTGACTTGCTTTAACAGATACTTGCTGTTCATTGACTGCTCTCTGGCAGTTCAAAAAGTAAAGCAAACAACACTGCAGAGCAGGAACAGCAGAGCTAGCAAATCCTGAAAATCTGAAACGACTCCAGGTCAAAGTCAGTGGAGGGTTCAAGGATACGGAGTCAAAGGTGCTTTAATCGTAGCAGAGCTTAAAAATCTGTCAAGGTGACTAATCCTCTTTGGCTCATTGCGAATGAAGTGGGGAATGTGACCTTCAGCAGCACTAAGAATGTCAGAGTCTTCCAGTGTCCCTGAGACCAAGGACTGCACTAAATCTCTGCGTTCTCACCAGAGCACTTTAAGGCACACTCACTGCGTTTTAGGTTCATCCCAGGGCGGCCAACAATAGTATCCAATGCATCAGTTGGCAAATACATCACCACATTCCAGCGAGCAAATGTCAAATTTAATTATCAAACATGTTCAATGCTTCAGTGCAGCTCATGATGCGTCCATCGTCCATTCATGTTAGAGCAAGTCTGAGCTGGTTCATACTGAAGCTTTAGACTCAGTTTAACACAAGAAAAAACGGTATTATGTGGTTTAATGATTACGTATATTCCATAAATATTATGGTTAAAATGGACATTAATGCTTGAAGTGCCCTTCATATCTAGGATGATTGAATCCACAACCATCAGATTTGATTAAACAACTATGTTTTCTATTCTCAGTGCACCACAGGCTGAGCAGCACTAGTCACACTGCGTGTGTAGAAATATGTATGAGGAAAGGGTCCATTCTGGTGATGAACCCACAATTCCCCTCAGCTCTACGGAGCGTTTTAGCGTCCTTACGTTTACAGTTTACCCGCACACAACTATATTCTTTTGGTTTACTCTCACTGCTCTCTGTTGTTTTCAGCCACACCAGGCACCTGTTTCTGGCAAAGAAACCCTACTGTTCACTCTGCACCCAGCACCATAAGGCAGACTACAACAGCAATTATTAGTCAATTAATCACACATATACATACATGGCGTTTTTATCTTTTAACCATTTCCACAGACAAGTATAAAAGTTAACCGAGGTTCTTGCTAAAGCTGACAGAAGTGTTACTGGAGCACAGAGAAAAAAGGGGCGGGACTAGGTCAATATAAAAGGAGGAAACACTTCATCTTTTTGGCAAATCTATGTGAGAAACACAGATTGTTATATTTGTTATGGTAAAATAAATCACATTTAAACATAGGCACCCAGTCTCCAAGGAAGCCCCCTTTGAAGTGCGGTACTTACATAACACACAGTCTTCACTAAGGCAGAAATATCAACTTGGGGTTTACCAAAAATATAAAGCTGCAGATTTAGTCACGGCCACACACATTGGGGGGTGGGGGGTGGTGGGGGTAATAAAACAAGGCCTCCCTATTCGAGACTTGGCTGGTCCATGAAAGAGCAACATTAAGTCCTGTCCTCTCCTTGACTGGCAAGGACATTCCTGAGATAACTGGCAGAGCCTCGCAGCTCCAAGGAGTCACTAAAGGAGACGGAGGAGGATGGTAGGTCAGCAAGTCTATGACTGACCAACAACACACAGCCCTACACAACAGGACTATTTCAGATTGAAGCAGCCTGATAATACACAGACCTTCTGGGTGGATGATCACATATTACAGATTCTAATCTGTACACAGAAGTTCTCAAAGTCAGGGTATAAAGTGAGGAAACAGTCGTGATGCCATAAACAGATAAAAGTGGGGCTCTTATCAAAGCCAGGCTCAGATAAAAGAGGCTCACGATTATGGTTTCTTTTTCTAAACATTATTCTGCAGGGGCTGATAAATATTCTGCAACAACTCAAGGTCCGTTTATAGCATGTGCAGTAAAATGGGATCAATGAAACTATAGTTTTACAGGCCGGCTCCACAGTTATAAAAGCAAACCCAAGGCATTATTAATTTTTACCATCTTGAAGGTCTGACAGCCCCCGTTGTAGTCCTGGTTGCAGCTACCAAGGGTGCCGTAACATATTAGCACCCCCTGAGGCTCATGCAGCAGCTCAGTTAAACCTGTCAGGCAGTAAACTGACTAAGCACAAACCCTGTGGAATTGGCTGCTCAATGACTCCCCCAACAAACAACACTGTTCTGTAACACGGATTACGCTCAGAAGAGAATACAGTCTACTGGGAAACTAATCCAGAGGTTCCTTTATACAGAAACTGATGCTCTCTCTCTAAAAATACTTGCTTACTGGCTGCTCAAAATCAGGTTCACTTCTCCCACTCGTGCTGCTCTGGGATCAGAGTGGGAGAAGTGCTTGTCTGTGCTGCACTGAGCCTGTAAAACCTGTTCACATTGATCCCCAAAGGGGAAGCATACCGCAGCTGAAGCGTGTCGGGGCAGAAGAGACACACACAGATACATGCACACAAGAAAATGCATAGGATAAGTATGAAATATGAGACTCTCCCTGTCTACAAAGGGATTGATTCTTCCTCTCATGTCTGGAGGGGATTGCCCTGAGGCATATTTACTGAACAAGGTAACCTGAGAAAGAGGTCAAAGCCTCCAGGGAGCTTCTACCTGCCAATGCTGCTCTGACTCACTGGACGGAGGTGAGAGGACGACAGCAAACATATGGAGACATACAACACATGGAACGCTTTCACTTTACACAACCACTGCACATTTATCACCCAAAACACCTGTCTCTTTATTTTTTTAACTACTATTTTGATGCATTGCCCTGATGTGAGTTCTGACATCGTAATATTAAACCAGAGATACATTTCCATACTGGCTGGATGCTTAAGTTGTAACTTGTATTCTGAGTTTTAAATCTGAATCTTGACATCGTCCTCTCCTTTGTGCTTATTCCTTTAAATCCTGGCTCGACTACCTGAGCAGGACTGAGCTGGAACAGACACACCCTTTGTAAAGAGAGGAGCGATGCAGGAAGGACAGGGAGGGAGGAGGAAGAATGGAAAGGAGTAACAGAAGGAGGATGGGTGGGGTGAGGGTTAGGTGTGAGCTAACCTGATGGGCTGGTTAGAGTCTGTTTAAACTCTTCTGCCACTAATCCTGCGCGGGAATTACATTTTTACTATACTGTAAATACTGTATGTGTAAGGAACTGGGTTAAATTCCAGGTAGTGGCACCTCCTTGTTGCCATCCTACCTCCAGAGATTAGACATGTCTATTGAAATTAGCCATGAGAAATTGTAGGGAAAAACAACATCAAAAACCTGTAAAGTGTTGCCAAGGCAGTTTACTGCCTTAAGGCTATTACTCTATTCCTACATATGATTTTATATACAGTATTTCACCAACAATTATCTGTTTTTTGATTTTATTTGTTTATTTGAGAGTGACAGATCACTTTAATGAACATCAATATAAAAAAATAAAAGATGTAAACAAGCCAGAGATAGAGAAAATACTAACTTACGTCTGTGGTCCCTAGAAAGATAACAGAAACATTACAGATAACAATATACATATACAATACGCAAGCAGAAAAAGACTAAATACATTATGTCAAGTTCATGTTCCTTTAAGCCATTGTTTGAGATAGGTGTTATAAGTAGAACGTGTAGGACACTTCCTCATTGTATAGGGTAGGCCATACCAATATTACCTTCCCTTTACTGACAGCAGTTTGTATAAGTGTGGTGCATCTATGTGGCACCTCACAGTCCCCTCTAGTGGTGGCCATTCATCGTCATTCTAGCCGTAAAATAATCTTCATTCCATAGACCTTTTCACAGCAGCCATTTTTTGATTTTAAATAGTAGGGTAAGTGCTACCAATGATACTAAATAAGGCTGTGTTCCATTCAGGTCAAACAGAGTGAGGGTGCTGCTATGGTGCATGTTAGCTCACAGGAAAAGCTCTGCTGCACTGAATGCCATCATTAGTTGAAGTATTTGACTGAAGTAATCTATTGGTTATTATGGTGATAGCAATCAAAAATGCACCAGTGGCACTTTAAGGCAACTTCAAACAGCTTCTCCATCCACAGTGTAGTAGGTGGACCCTGATTGTTTTGTCAAACTTCCAACAAATTCAGTACAACAATATTTTTAAATGATATTTCAGTGCAGTGCAGAGAAAGAGGCACTGTTTTGAGAGTCACAAGTAAGTTTCAAGTCTTGGCTATGAAGCTCCACGTCACAGAAAGACACGAGAGAGGCTAAAATACAATTAACATTCTTCAGGTCAACGTGGATTATTTCCAGGATATTTCATCATTTAAATCAATTTCTAGGTGTTCCAATGACTGGAAAACTAGTCTCTAAATTTCCAGATTTTCCAGGATCTGTGGGAACCCTAAAACAGGCCCGGAGTCAAGTCCTTGGTCAAGACCAACACGGTCTTAAAAAAAGGCATTAACGGGTCATTATGCATCTGTCACCAAAATCACAAGGTTTTCTTTATTTTGTCAAATTGGGTCTTAAGTCATCAGATTCATGACTCGAGTCTGAGTTGAGTTCAAGTCATGTGACCTAAGCGCAAAGCTCTGCCATAATCACTTAAAAATGGTTCATGAATAAGAGACAAAGCTAAACATATACTGTGGCTACCCCCAGTGACCTCGCTGTGCACAAGTTCAACTGCTTTGCATTAAACTGATGATAATGTGATTAACTGGTTGCAGCTTACCGAGGGTCTCCTTTGTTCATGTTGGTGATGGCCGGATGCAGAACTGTCTGGTTCCCCTGCATCTCCACCACACATTTTGTCTTTAGGTCTTTTTCTGGATTGGAACAGAAGTCAATCAGAAAAGCAGTGTATTTTAATATTAACACAACAATTTGGCTTTTCCCTGCTCTTTCTTTTCAGGACCTACACAAACATGAAATGTGCAGTGAACAAAGTGCAAACAAAGCGCTCTCTAATCATCACAATGTACTGTTCAAATAGTTTACAGAGCATGTACGCACTAGTCATCATAACTTTACTTAGCAGGCACTGCCACAACTCTCATCACAAGACAACAGGTGGCAACCACTGTGTGTGTGCCAGTTCCTCGTGATCATAACACACACACACACAGAGAGAGGCAGGAAATAGTTTTATTGATGGTGATTCATCTAGGACCTGCCTGTGCAAACATTACAACCAATGCACTGCTCCCTGGGCCGACAGTAAGGAAAAGCAGGGTCACAGCTTCTCTTCCTCATTCCTACCTACAGTAGAAGGTTTCTAAGGCGGAGACGTCCTGTCAGAGCAGGAGTTAGGGCACGTGTGCCGTGAGATTTTCCACTGCTGCATTTTATTGTGAAAGGCATATTAGTAGTTAAAACCTTTGTGATATTAGTTTAAATTAAAAGGTAAGTTCAAGAAAGTTTCAGACACTTGCTCAGAGTGAAAGTGCATTACACATGTCACTGTTTATGCATTACAGTCCCTTTTCTGTCAGGATGTGATGTCACCGCCCCGTCCATACTTTTCCATTTCCACTCCCACAGCCCTCCAGCCAAAATAGTTCCATAAAGAGGGGCAAAGTAGACCTTTTCAGAGCCTGACTGGGAAAGCAAACGCTGTAAAACACAGGAATGAAGCCTCTATTGTTTGTGGAAAACTACAAATTAACCCTGGCTTCACAAACAGAGAGAGAGCTGTGTTGATAAGACTCTTTGGAGCTGGGCAGAGTTGTTAAAAAAAAAAAAAACAACCTTTGTTTGTGCTGTGAAAAACAGACTAATGAGTGGCTGCATGGTCCAGCTCACAACTGTGACTGTCACCGGGTTTGTGTGACAGTGAACTCACCTCTCCTGTTCATTGGTCGCACACGAACAGCGACCTTTACATTGGAGACATTGAGGATGTTGTCATCCATGGTGCCACCTGACCTGTGGCAAATGAATGAATGGACACAAGTAAAACCAGTTATACTCTGTTTGTACTTTAAACTAAATTACTCGCATTCAAAGTCCATCTTATTTCCCCGAACTACACCTGAACACATGCTTTTATTTTCTTACACCGCTGCTTCATTATTGCGCGAGACACCAGACTCTGTAAATAAACACAGTAAGCTCCTGACTCTCGCTTATTATTGCATTATTCACACTTAAACCCAACTCAGAGCAGCTTGTCGAAACTTCCATGAAGACATAACAAGCTAAAGTACAAACTGTATTGTTAATAGTAGTGAACAAACCGTGTGAAAGACTGCGCAGTTGTTTCCCTGTCCGACGCCCACAAGCACCTTCAAGTACATACAGCAGCTAGCCTGGGACGCTAACGAGAGCTGGAGAACAGCGAACACACACACACACACACAGAGAGAGAGAGAGAGAGAGAGAGAGAGAGAGAGAGAGAGAGAGAGGGGTCAAATATTTTCATAATGACCGCTGATAAATGTAACCGACCCCCGTACAGTGTGCCGTGTAACCCTGGTATCTGTTTGTAAGTCCAAAGAGCACTCACGGCCGTACACAGGTCATTCCCTCGGCTCTTCCACCTGTTGCATTTCCTGAAACTTCCCGCAGAGATCAGTCAAGCCATGTCGCCTCGCAGCTAAAGGGATTTGCTGGGAGATTTAGTGAGCTCCCTGGTTGCCCGGTTGCGCTCTGAGCTGCACACACTTGCTTTGAGAGGAGATTCAGCGCCACCGTGTGGATCCACAAGCACTACAGGTCTGCGCTTCTCCTTCAACAGAGATGTGTCCAAAAACATGGTTGGACAAAAAAAGAACTAAAATGTGCCCAGTTCATGCTAAATAAAGTGATACATCGGTGGGAGCATTGTGGTACGAGTTTACGCTTTGACCCTTTGAGAAACTTCAATGATCGGCGGTTTGATCCTGGAAAAGACGCGTTTACGCTATTTTACGACAGTTTCTATCGCCGTACGACAGGAGCCGTGTTCGGACGCAACGTGGAGTTGTTTACTAGTTGTGACAGCGCTGTCGGCTTAAAGAACTGATGTAACTCTTCAAACCCGCGTCCAACCGTTGTAAAGCGGACTGTGTGTCTAAAGGAAGAAATGGGGAAGCCAAAGAAAAAGAGTGAGTTAGCGACAGAGGGTTTAAAACCTCTGAATGGGCTTTCTAAACGGCTCAGACTGTCTGTAGCTTGTGGCTAATGCTAACTTAAAGTCTGGCTCCGTCTGTTCATATGACGACAGCGACATAACTGTGTGTGTAACTGTTCAGTTGTTGTTGTTATTAGTTCTGTAACACTGTATGCTAAAGCCTTAATTCATCCAGTTATCGGCGGGTTTGTAAACTGTAGCTAACATTAGCTCCAGCTGGACTTTGTATACAGGGTTCATCCTTTTGGATTCTGTGTGTTAATCTGACTGTATTGATTATTGCTGATTGGCAGGTGACCTCAGCCGAGCCGAGCTGATGATGATGACCATTGCTGATGTCATCAAGCAGCTGGTTGAAGCCCATGAAGATGGCAAAGACATTAATCTCAACAAGTAAGTCTTCAGCAGTAAAGACATTCAGCCTCTTGTTTAAACTACACACCAGCAGCCTTTCTTTACACCGACATACAAGTTATATGTATGGAGACTCTCGTTGTGTACAGATTGCACAGGATATAAAAGGCTGTTTTTACACATTTATAAAATAATGTAGTTTTATTGCAGTGCCTAAGACTTATAAACAGCCAGTCACGCAGTAAAGTTTGTCTATTGATTTGTCGTCATGTTAGTCTTAAATCCTATAATAAATCTTTTTTAAAGCTTAGCAGCAGTTTTAAAAAGTAAGTCAGCTGTTATGTTTACTGCAGACAACTGGCTGATTGTGGAGTTTTACCTTTTTGAACTATTTTTTAGGCAGTATGTCAATACAACAGTTAAATTAGCAACATAACTGATGAAGCTGTCAGCTGTTGAAGCATCTCTAATAAAATTAAAGAGCTCTGATTCCAGTATTTGAAGGAATGAGAATGACTAAAAGGTCACCCCATGGTTCTTATTTGTTTTCAAAAGAGTGAAGACAAAGACTTCAGCTAAATACGGACTTGAAGCCCAGCCTCGATTGGTCGACATCATCGCCGCCGTTCCACCCCAATACCGCCGTGCTCTGGTGCCCAAACTCAAGGCCAAACCCATCCGCACTGCCAGCGGGGTACGTATAGACCTCAGGTTCCTGTCTGTCAGCAGTTTACCGCTGAGCTCTGTAAGGCTGCAACCAATCAGTTGAAATGTACAATGTGTAATGTAACCTAGTAGATTTCTGAGGTAACGTCAGACAGACAGCAGTTGCATAAAGACACACGCAGTGTGATTGGCTCGTCCATCTGCTGTTAAACTTCACAATATTTCCTCACAGTTTCCAGATAGATTCTTGGAGGTGCTGATTGATTAACAGACGTACAGTGTGACAGGATGAAAGTGGATACTGGCCCAGTGATGGAGCCTCACGTTTATGACGCTAAAAGAGACGTTGATTGCTGAGATTGTGTCTGGACAGATTATGTTTATGAAAATGTGGAAGTTGGACAACAGGCACCTTTTTTCTATCGTTAGAATAGCTCATATATTCAGTGCTTCTGTCTCTGTCGCAGATCGCAGTCGTGGCTGTGATGTGCAAACCACATCGATGTCCCCACATCAGCTTTACAGGCAACATCTGTGTGTAAGTGTTGACTACTTTGTTGCAGATTATTTATTACATTTATTTAGGATTCACTTTAGACATGAGCAGAATATGATTTTGTAAATGTATGTAGAGTAAAGTGACATGTTTATTGATTTATTGTTCTTATGTTCAATCTAACACGTACATTATGTGCTCTGGCAGCTACTGTCCTGGTGGACCAGACTCAGACTTTGAGTACTCCACCCAGTCTTACACCGGCTACGAGGTAAGCTAGTTTAATCCATTTTAAAAAATGTGCTTACCCCTCTGCAAACTCCCCCCGCTTACAGTGACATTATCCATAACTTTGATATTGCTTACTCTTATTGTTGCGCCTTTAGTATTTGTGTTTTCACTGTGTCATTGCAGTATTTACAGTTAGTCGTTCAGTTTCTCAAGTCAGATCATGGTTAAGCGGATTCACTGACTTTTAAGATATAGATTTTTTTTTTTTTAATCACAATTGTTTTGAATCACTTTCTCTGTTTCTGATAGCCAACATCCATGAGAGCGATCCGAGCACGTTACGATCCCTACCTTCAGACCAGACATCGGGTGGAGCAGGTCAGTGAAACCCTGCAGATACAGAAATGGTTTTACATGCTTTTATTTTATCACGCCTGGATTACTGTAACAGCCTTTTTTAAATGTCCAAATAGAAAAAACTGTTTAATTATTATTGGCCCTTCAATTTAGTCTTGACTTGGTATTACCATCACGCAAAACAATCAATTCAATCTAGTGGCTTCACACATCTGGCTGTGTTACGCAGCTGTGGTCACAAACAGACCCCAAATGAGCTTCTATGCAGTGATAGTCTTTGTCTGCATAAGTATAAATCATAACTATTGATAATATATTTAGTACACAGTAATGAGTGTTGTGGCTTTTACCCGCCTGCCGAGATCTGACCCCAATTACGCCGTTATTTGAATTTATGGCCACATTAGTCTAATGCAGCAGAGCAAGTTCTTCATTAAAGTAACAGTTTGTGTAGAAATCTTCGCTTCTCTTCAGTTTGCATCCATTTCTGTGCAGTTGCTTCTTAAAGTATAACTCCAATTTGTTTTCGCAATATATTACGATCAGTCGTAAAAACTGTAATAGCTGTAACCCTAAGCCGATTACATGCCTCAGCACTGTGTGTTTTGTGTGTGATGTGCAGCTGAAGCAGCTGGGTCACAGCGTGGACAAGGTGGAGTTCATCGTGATGGGCGGGACCTTCATGGCTCTGCCTGAGGAGTACAGAGACTACTTCATCAGGAACCTACACGACGCCCTGTCAGGACACACCTCCAACAATGTGGCCGAGGCCGTCAGGTACACAGCCACTCGTGCCAATGACACGTCACCCTACATTAACAGTCGCTTCTATCAGGTTTTATTGAGAACTATTGGTTGGACAGGACAAGCACTGGGGGCTGTTGACATTTCTCCCTTTTTCTACATACAAACCACACAATGAATCGATTAATGGGGAAAATAATGAGCAGATGAATCCATGATAAATATAATCATTGGTTCCAGTCCTATACAGAATAAAGTAGTTGAAAATGAGCTCCACCTCAACCAACAACAACAGTAAAATCCTGCTTTTACATTAATGCATGAGTCATAATAATCTAATGATATCATATATCATCAGAATGTAATAGTGTAACACTCAATAGTTGCAGTACTCAAGCATTGAGTACTTTTACTTTTAATATTTGAGTCTTTTTATTTTCCTGATTATACTCATACTTTTACTGGAGTAACATTGTCAATGGAGGACTTTTATTTGTAACAAGTATTTTTACAACAAGTTATTTTGGTGCCGTGTCTTACTTTCTCCAATACAGCTACGAGACAGTAATGGAGTTACAGTTACTGTGAACTTCTGAAGCAATGTTACTGCTTTGACAGTATTTAGAATTTTCTATATTCATCGTCATATAGCTGCTCCATAAAAGATGATCAGTTCAGTATTTGTAAGTGTCATACAATGCAACTGCCAAGTACCACATCTGAGAATATTCATCAACAGTCTCCACTAGAGGGAGCTATTCCACCATTTGTAGCATGTCTCCTGCATTCAGTCACTTAGCTTTCCTCTACATCATCCGGATATACCTACATCAATGTAAAATAGAACATTTCAACGTGAAGTATAAGGCCTCATTTTGCACAGCAGTGTAATTTTAGGGCTGCAAATAATACTTATTTTGGTTATCAAATAATCCGTGGGTTGTTTTTGACAATTATATGTATTAATAATATTGTATTATTTGTATTTATTTATTTATTTACAGAAAATTGTTAAAAACAAAAACAACATTTCTCAGACCCTGAGGGGATGTGATTTAAATTTCTTTCTTCTTTCGTTTTGTGAACCACTAGTTCAGAACTGAAAGATTTTGAATTTGCAGTAAGACAAAACAGAGAAAACAAGCAAGTTTGATAGGCTGGAACCAGAAAATGTTGGGTATTCTTTCTTGATCAATGACTTGAATAATTACCAAATTATAGAACCTCTCTTTTAACTAGTCTATTATTTGACTACTTGCTTCAGCCCTAAGTCCATATCTCCTCTTTCGATGTTTTCAACAACATTTATGACATTTGTTACTCATAAATAAAAAACATGGACTCGAATTAAGAACTCAGCATCACACTCCATCCCCCCCCCCCCCACACACACACAAACATTCCCAGTGCAAAACCCCCTATTTTTTTGTGTGTATTATGCAACATGCAACATTGTATTTTACACCATGATGTGTTTACATTCACCGCACTCCACCCCTCTCTCCATTAACCCCACCACAACTAAACACCATACATCCAATAGGAAGCCATATATAATGATTATCTCCACACATTAAAACCGCTGAATGGAGCCATTCAGACCTCAGGAGGAAAATAAGCGAGGCCCCTCTCAATAAGTCCTCCTCAGTTATTTCCATCGATTCCTCACTTACTGAGTTAGGCCCGCGTTGA